AATTCCAAGTTCCTAATAGGCCATTTATGGACTTACTGATGCTATTAAGCGACTTATTGATCAGAAAGAATATCGTTTTAGAACCAAAAATACATTAATATTGTTATAGGGTTAATAAAGTTTAAACATTATAGGGTATTCTATTTCAAAATTACAGGTTCTAATTAACGTGCCCTAAATATCTATTTCATGTGATTTATTTAAATAAACAGAAATGATAATTAGTGTTAGATTACATTATGACTAAAATTACCTACTTCAGTGAGCTATTTAATTGCTGTTTGATACTAATAATTACGAAGCAAGCGCAAGTCAACTTAATTACAAAATAATTTCGAAACATCATTACAGCTATCAAATTATGATTTTTTGTAAAATTTTCGACTCGTGGCCAAAAATACAAGAAGAATATAGGTATTTATAACTGATTATTTAAACGATTTCGTACAAGATCTTAAGACTCATCATAGTAATAAGAATGAATAGTGCTATGCTTTTATGTTCTGTTACTTCTTCAACAGAATCCCATCAGAAACAAGAAAATCGTCAATTTCTTTACCGTTTTAATATATATAAAGATGTAAAAATATTTTAGGAATTGAACAAATCCCTAGAAATTAGATTAACCTGTAGCATATGTACGTGTATAAATCAGACCAACCTGTAGCATTAACCAATAAAGAATTGAAATGATTGTAAAATCATAATCAAAAAATTGTTCATAAAAAAATAGAGTTTTTGTATATATACATACATATATATCATATGCCAGGTATCTACCTATACAAAACAAAAGAAGGGTTTCATCACTAAGTAGTAATGGGAGCTTTAACGATTTTTTATTACCGACACACGTTGTAAATAACCGTTAGGTATATAGATCACAGTAAGATCGTAAAAAGTCGAGAGAAAGCTTTTTAGAATTAAATTTAGCATGATGTGACATTTACATGATAACAGTAGTTATTGGCCACGACTGTGTCCGCGTGAACGGAGTATTTTAATTGTATGATGCAAAGAAGCCTATATATATATATATATATATATATATATATATATATATATATATATATATATATATATATATATATATATATATATATCCCTTTCTATCTCAAATAGTGCGAAATTTCATGACGATTGATTAAGTCATCGAAACGCTGTAAGGCTCACAGGCTCACTCACAGCATACGATAGATAATGGAAGGAATGCATAAATAACGTTCTGATCTATATTTATTTTTAATTTAAAAAAGTTATATCGATACCTGGAAGTATACTGATACGGGATTGTGAAATGTTTTCATATGTAACATCTCGTATAATGTTGATTAAAATTCATGAAATACTTTTAATAATTAAAAATATTAATAAGAATACTGCAAGCATTCCGTATGCTCTTAATTAAAATATTTTTTAATAATAAACTTCAGAAACTTTCAATACAACAGACTTTTTTTTACTTTGTTTTTAGTTGTACTGTTGCTGCACCTTTCCACACCGTCACCGTGTCGGTCACGACATAGAATGGGCCACCCCTTCCTTTCCCGTAGGTGACATAAGTGGCGACTAAAGCAACTTATAGTCGAGGGATGGGCAGCAGCGTCCCTCTTAAAACATCCCCAAAAGCCTAACTGCGGTTGCCAACCTGCCTGACAAGCGTGGCAAATACTGGCAAAATCCTCCAAGGGGGAGGCTTATGTTCAGCAGTGGACAGTTAAAGGCTGATATGATGAAGATAATGATGTTGCTTCCCATTACTTCTTCTAGTATATATTAATATCAATTTATATTTCACACAAATAAAACAACAATATAAACTATGCAATCACTACAGCTACGCTATCTATTATCAAAGGAGTAATTATTTATATCAACTCAACATCGTATAACATTGAAATTCCCGGAGCCGCCTTTGTCTTGTAGCGTCGTGATTACAGCCACTAGGTAAGCACCAAGTTGAAATTAATATCGCGTATTTACCACCGAGCTGTATGGTAGCAACCAGATTATTGTCAAATTAATGCAAAGCCGTTTTGTGAATTAAAACAATGTTTATTTTAACGTTTTTACCACTGCTACGTGGATATGTTTAATGAAAATCATATTTGTATGTGAACACACAATGTTTAATGCGTAAAGGCGTGATATTTAATACATTGAAATTTAATAATGTATTTTCATTTTGTGTGTTTAAAATTAATTATCAAAACCATAATATTCAATTTTAATTAGGAAAAATGAACATGTATTTTACTGCTTCTTTATCAATACTAATGTTATGAATAGAAAAGATTTGTTTATTTATAATAATAATATAAATTTAAACTACTCAAACAATTTAAAAAAAATCTTTAACTTATAGAAAGCTACATTATCAGCGAGTAGCATAAGCATTATATTATTTTCGAAAATTCAGTCTACCCGTGCGAAGCCTGCGCGGATCTCTAAAGGAAAAGGTTACAAGTCTACTTCTTGGGTACGTTTGTCCCATTCGTGTTTCTACCGTCAAGCAGCTGCGCTTGCATGGTTCTATTTATAATAGTGAATATATTTTAATCTACTACTACTGTGTATTCTATAGGTAGTATCCATGGTGTTTTACCATTTTCCCTTAAAAATACTCTCAATTTATTTGCCATTCCAAGTTTCATAGAAAATTTCACATTTTTCCTATTTAAACATGAATTCTGTTCTCCCTATCCGTAACTTTAGTGAATTTAAATTTATGTATGATAAATAATTAATCCATGTAAAGTTAAAAAATATTGTTATTGGCGGCCTAGAAATTCTTTGCACCAGAGATCGCCATACTAACACTATAGTGTTAGTATGGCGACCTTTGGTACCAAGAATATTACGAATACTAGCAGTACTAGTATTACTAATATACGGATTTTCACAATATGACTAAGTAATTTAAATGTTTTTGAGTACTTAAATATATGTTTTCAACTAACAACAAAACAAAAGAAGGAGGACCTGAATTCGGTGATATTTTTCCTTACATCATCATCATCATCATATTAGCCATTATTTATTCACTGCTGAACATAGGTTTTCCCCATAGACTGCCATAAGAAACGGGTTCCTTATGCAGTTTACCTTTAGGGGAATTTTGCCAGTAATTTCCACGCTTGGCAGGCGAATTGGCAACCGCACTTTAGCTTTTGGTGATGTTAAGAAGGAGGCAACCGCTCATCTCTCGACCATTAATTGCCCTTAGTCGTCTCTTATGATAGCCATGAGAAATGAAGCGATGGTCCATTCTATGCCGGGACCACACCGCAACTTTTTATGTTTGTTACCTCATAAATTTATCAGTTATCAACAGATTTAGAATTATATTTTTTTATCTGAAAACATATACTTCCAAATTAGTTTCACAGATATTTCATCAATATCGATTTAGTACAGTTTGTAATCCAATTTTTTTTATTTTACCACGATTGAGATTTTTTTTTGTGGAACGCAATCTTAAATTATAAATGTTAATATTTCAAACGTTTATGGCTTTATTTTAAATATAAAATCGAAAACTTAGGCTATTATATTCATGTTTTCCGATATCTAAACCAAGTAGGTAAGCTGATAGAGCTCCATCACGACGAGGCAAAGGGCAGGAATATCGAAACTGTCATAAGCGGCTTAAAGTGGCTTCCAATCTACGCTGAAGCGCTTTGGCTATCTACATGTAGACATAGTATGAGTACGTGCTGTGTACAAGTGTGTGTAATATACACTATGTAGATAACAAACAAAGAGTTGAAATTTGTAGGTATGTTGCTTAAATTATTTCGCTAAAATGTTGAATTATTCATCAAAAAGTACAGGTTCTTAAAATATATTATTAGCTATGAGTATATTCCGCACCTTCGCTTGCATGAATAAGTATATAAAGTATGCTATATGTTAAGTTAGATATAACCTTCCCGTAACCAAACGAAATTTCATTTGAATACTTTCAGTAACCTTTGCGTGAAAGAATAATAAATATCCATCCATATACCCACACGAATTTTCGCATTTATAATAGAAGTAGGACAGTAAGATTTAAAGTACTTGTATAGAAGAACAAAAATAGAACTCTTCTAGAAGCAGAACTCAAAGTATATAAGTACCTAAGTTTACTAGAGAATATATAAGCATATCCCATATCCAAAATGTTCAGACTGCTGAACGTTATGGATCATTCACGAAATGTGAAGTTTAGCCATATTTGTTTGATCATACATAAACACTATATCTATGTTCCTCACTAGATTTTGGTTCTAATGTATTTACTTGAGCTACAGCCTCTGTCATAGTTATCTTCTTTAAAACTACCAGTAGATCAATTGTATACAGTATAAGGATAACTGAGCAAATATAGTATACAATGACAAAAAAATATATTTTTCTTTATATTTTTGTACAAACCCCATGCTTAAACAGCCCGATGTGAAGCATAAAAATGCATTGTTTTTTCATCACTTTTTCCATCCCCAGAATATTGTAAGTTATATAGTTATAATATAGTATTGTAACTATTGATTAGTCTTGTATTATGCTTTCTAATAGACGCTATTCGATTTCTCTATAACATAAATGCAGTAACGGATATGGCTCTGGTTTCTGAATTAAGTTAATTATGTACCTACTCCTAGTAATGCACTACACACACATACAAGTAAGCCCGAGGTATATTGATGTATATCCATTAGTTTTCACTGTTTTTAGGCTGAATCTCTTTACAAATAAATCTGACTTTTGAAGTACAATGTTTTGCTTTGTTCAACCCATTGCAACTTTTATTAAAAGCTTTAAACAATCGCTTACAATGATAATTTTAAATGATTCAGACTTTCTTGTTTTCAACAGTAGTGGTTACGTTCAATTTAAGCTTTTTCAATATCTTTGTGTTTACAGCTACAATAAATAGTCACGCATTTTTCTTATCTTTTAATTAGTAGTAAAGGTAAAAGTATTGTTTATAATAAAGTAAAACTAATGACTGTAGTCTAAGCGAACAAAACTTCCGACCTTTCTGTGATAATTCTCTTCGCGTCCGGGAAGAACGGTAGGATATTTATCCACGAGTCCAAACTTAATGTTAAAATACTGGTCTGCAAAGTTGTTATTTATTATATTTAGCACAACATTATAAAAGTTTTAAAAATAATAATATTACACGAGATATATAGTTATACCTACTATATAGCTTCACAATGTAACTAGGTACCATTTGTTGTCTGTTAGTACAGTTCAAAGTTCGAATTTATTAATCCATTTACTATAGAATATGCCTTTATTGAACCCAGTAGTGGGACGTTAATCGATTATTATGATATAGAAGGATGTAAGTAATGGAAGTTACCTAAACTAACTTATTAGAATTAAATAAAAAGATTCCACTCTATAGACAGATATAGATATAGATCTGAGGGTGAAATTAAATGTCAAAACGAACGTCATATTTTATTATTATTATATAATTATATATTATTATTACATTAAGCAAAAGATCTTATATGCAGATGGAAATACACAGAATTATAAACTATGTATATGTCGTGGCCAGATTTTAGAATTGATCACTTCATAATGTGGCCAATCTTTTCATGAAATAGTTATGTTTTATAATATGGCCAGCTAAAACTGAAAATGAAAATTCGTTTAAAAATCAACGTTTGATAATATCATCAAATCACATTTTTATTCCTATCATTACTGTAGAGTTTCTATGACATTTAGAATGGAATAAAAAATATTTATTGCCAGAAAAAACACATAATTATAACAGAAAAAAAAAACAAAAATATTATATAAAAAGCAAAAGGAACTGGCTCAGCTGATACGGTGAGTGTCCCAATACAATGTGGAGGTACAGCCGCACAGCGCTGGTTTCAGCCAGTCTCTCTCTTAATAAAATACAACAAAAATACAAACGGGTACAAGTACAATTGCATGTTACAAGAGGGCCCATTATGCCAATACAATATTTAACGCCATACAATTAGACTTCACTTTTATCTTCAATTGGCGGATTATTATTATCCGCTTTTTAACAGAAGTATTGTCCGCCGCAATGCTGCATCACAAAAAGTTAATTTTTCTAACAGTGGATAATGTAACAATTATTTTACGATATGATCACTAATATTTGAACAAATCATGAAGTAGCCGTGTGTTTAACTTTCCATATGGTTAAACGCTGATTATTCACTGATCTTACCAGTCCACATCATAATGTAGGAAACAGGTATTTTCCATTTTATGAAATGATCGGCCACATCAAGAAGCGATTAATTCTAAGATCTGGCCACGACATATACTGTTTAAAACCAATTAATTTACACTTACCTTTGTCTCGGCTCTATATGAAAAGCAATGTGAAATGCCTCTATTCATGCCTTGTAATATTCCAAACACATCTCCCGTATTAAGGTACTCATGAGTGGTTTCTGTCAAGTCAGGTCTCACTGACACCACTGAGACTGTACCTGACGCCACCCAGTACATACGGGCCTCGTTATCCCCAGCTAATAATATATAGTTACCTGCGATTTCATAATACCACACATTGAAATCTGGATGCAATTAAAAGGTGCTAGATACCTGAATGAAATAAAAATGTAATTTTGGAATTGTCTAAAATATTTTTCTTTTTATTTCGAGAACTCTTAATTATTTTATTCCAATTAGCACTTCGCCGTGTGGTTTCGGCATAGAATAAGCCATTCCTTTCTTTCCCTTGAGGGGCAGCAGCGTCCCTCTTAAAATGCCACCAAAGCTTAAGTGCCGTTGCCAAGCGTGGCAATTACTTGCAATACCCTCCAATGGCAAAGGCAGTCTATGGAGGAGACTTATGTTCAGCAATGGATAGTTAACGGTTTCAAGAAACAACTTTAACTCGTGACTTTTTAGTTAAAATATAGGACTTTTACTTGTTCAGAAACAACCACATGGTTCCCTAATATTTTAGAAATTTATACAGATTACCATAAATATTGATAAATGATATTACATGGATTGCATACTTATATACTTTCTAACATAATGTTGACATTTGTAATTCATCAGAAAATCATATAATACATAATAGTCGCTAGACTTATATCATATATTCTTTATTGCACTTAAACAATACATGCGACGATTAGTTTAACAACTTGTTAGCAAGGAAGGGCTTATCTCTGAAAGAGATCTCTTCCAGCCAACCCAGTGTAGTTAGAGCGAAAATAATTTACCTAATTTGGGTAATCTTGTCATTTGGGAAAAGGAAAACCTCCTGCTACATGGTGGAACAATATCAAAAAGAAGATGAAAGCACGGAATCTAACTCTTATAACACAGGACAGAAGATCCTGGTGCCGGTGTACAAAAAGATCCGACCCTAAATAGTGCTGAAATTAAGGGCTGGAAGAAGAAGAAGTCGCTAGACTTGTCATTTATACAATCCTCGTCCATATTTATTAAGGCTATTCCAAACACGCAATAAAAATACTCACCAGGAAAAAATATATTGTAATCCAATGCGGCAGATAGTTGACGCAAAAATGACTCTCCCGTGTCGGCAAAGAGATAACAATTTCTCAAATGATGACCGAACATTGCGGACATCAAATCGCATCGTCGCACATACGGCATCTGCTCCAAGAGTACAGGTAGCTAAAAGACAAACAAGGTATAATTTTTAATAAGCTTTTTCTACAGTTTTCAATATTTCTAACTCCAAAATTTCCTATTTGTTTTTCATAAAGCTACAATGAGCTGATTTAGCAATAAGTAATTACTGCTTTATGACGATTGATTATTTATTAAACAGCCAAGGGCCGTGTAGTCCCCGTATAAAATAGGCCACCCCTTCCTTTTCTGTGAGTGTTGTAAGGAACAACTAAAGGAACTTAATGGTAGAGGGATGGACAGCAGCGTTCCTCTTTAAACATCTCTAAAAACCTAACTGCTGTTGCCAACCCGCCTGCCAAGCGTGACGAGTTGGCAACTACTAACAAAACTCCCCTTATAGGGAAGGTTTATGTTCAGTAGTGGATAATTAACAATTGAAAGGATTATAATGAAGCCGCCAAGTGGTAACAAACAAAAACAAATAAACTTACATTTATATTTATAATATTAGTTAGAAATTTAACTTAACTACAGTAATATTATGGTATCATAGAGCTCGTTTAATTATGGGACTGAAAGGTAGCCATAGGTACTTGATAATAAATAATTCAAATCCATCAAATTATAACTCGTTTGAGTCGTTAGCTAACTAATATTAATCACAATACAGTCACAGAGCTTGTAGATTAACACAAGATCAATGTATAAAAGCCTATTTTTAAAAAGTAATTTCAACTATATATTTTATATACTAATTAAAATGACATAATAAACTGAAGACTGATCTGTTAGAAAATAGTAATGGTTGCCTATAAATTGAGAAAAATCTATGGACTTCATAAAATATTCATTTTATTGCCATTCATGGCATCCATCGTGCGTAGTAGTTCAGAAGATTACGGTTTATATCTCTCGTGTCAAGGATTGCACTATTTTATTCTTCTAGTCAATTTCAGCAACGCTACGTTAGGTGACAAATTGATTTACGTTAAAAATATGCCAATATTCCTATATGCCTACCTCAGACAAGTAACAATAATAAAATACTAAGACAACAATATCTGCTATTAAATTTAATCTGCACGTTTGTAAACTGCACTCATAATTTAAGAATGCAGTTTATAAAATTATATAAAAAAAAAACAAAAAAAATTGTAGCAAATGAAGTTGAAATAATTGCATGAAATATATGTTGACATATTTAACAAGTACGTGGTAACTCAACTTACAAGAAAAATTATAGAAGTTGCAAGTTGGAATCTCGCTTGTTACGATTTTTTTTAATGTCACAATACTTATTGGATTATTAACTATATATCCTAATTTTCATCAGCGCGAATATAGTTATTACAATATTTAAAAAAAATACAATAATATTTAACAAGAACAATGTGATATAAATTACCTGGCGTCCTCGTTCTGTCACCCAAAGTTGACGTACGTATTTCCAAAATTTCTTTAACTGATAATCTGAAAGTTTAGGTTATTGATAAATTAGAGCTTTGTATTATTTTATATTAACTGTAGTAATATTGCACTATACTATATATATTTGTTTAACCGTAATGTATGAGGCTATCATTTGTAACAAAGGTGTCTTAGAAACTATTGACAGAAGACATTAACTATAAGACGTCACAAACTAATATATTAATATTAATGTTGTGAAGTATAGTAAGTACTTACTTGATAACCCCTGATTTTTTAACATATCAATAAGCTCGTGAGTCACTTTTTCATAACAATTTAATGCGTAGTTAGTAGAGTATGCAATCTGTATAGATGTGGCTACTACCACAGCCGCAAGCATCTTGCCAGCCACAAGGCATATACCCAATATTATCATAGGAAATATTTCCTCTATGATGAACTCGTCACCGCCAGTGGTTGTCAACTCTGATAGGACCAAATAGAATGATGTTGTGTAGTCCCAACGTTTTTGTGGCGTTTCTCTGCAATAAAGAAGAATCTTTATTCACAATAACATAGATGTTATATTTTAATAAAAATAATAATTATTTAGGTAAAATTAATTATTAGTATTTTCGGATAGTCATTTGTTAGGATTCTACCATGCATTGTAAATGCAATTTCAACTGAAGAGAACAGACAAGAAACTTAACTGTTGCAACCAAACAAAAGTTGATTTTAAATTTGTGTCAATACAAATTATCCAACAATTAATAATATTCAGAACGCAACAAACTTTCAGCTACAAATTCATTCAATTTGCCGTCCAATAATGTTTATATCAGTATTATTTATGATAATAAATATAATATGAAATTAGTAGTGAAAGACTGCTAATTATACTCATTTTATTTTATTAATTAGGTGCACATAACAGAAGTTTACAAACTTAAATTATAACATGCAAGTACATTAATGTATAGATCAGGTAAACTTGCCACAAACATGTGCACACAGCATGATCCAATAATAAATGCGACTGCAACAAAGCCTTTCGGTTGCTACTTACTTCGGTTATACTTATATCGAAAGGTGAAATTGTTCAGTCTAATAGCTATAATCACATTCATATATGCGTAGTAAGCATTTAAAATCCGTATAGCATAGGTGTAAGATTCCGTCCGATTATTTTAATCAAACATTATCTAATTAATATGGATCCGTTATAACTATAGAATATTGTAAACATAAAAATAGAGTTAAATGGAGAATTTCTCCTGTCATTCGAGTTATTTTGATTCTTTTCAAAGGTTCAAAATAACTCGAATGTCAACTACAAAATAGCAAACGATTAGATACAACGATTTCTAAGAAATGAGACAGAGCGGTATTTTATTGTCAAGTAAGAAATTCGAATAGGATTCGATGTAAACGCTATAGTGGTATAAGTACAGTAAGGCAGTCTCATTGTTGAAAGCAATCTTTTCAATACAACCTTAGGGTAATGAACCAATTTATATAAATATAAATTTGTAGGTATACATACTCATCAATAAGATGCAGTTTCAGTGGTCTGATGACACTAGTAGGTGAAGTAGCAATCATGACGATTAAAAAGATACAGCTGAATGAATGGATCAAGAGGATTACTATTATAATTGTCATCGCCGCCTGTAATATATATTTTTATTTATTATTATTTCAGCCGTTAACTGTCCACTGCTGAACATGAGCCTTCCCCATAAAGGGAGCTTTGCCAGTAGTTGCCACGCTTGGCAGGCGGGTTATCAACCGCGATTAGGCTTTTAGAGATATTTTAAAAGGGACGCTACTGCCCATTTGTTAATAACCAAAATCAATAAACACGTTGTTCAAATAAGACTATTATAGACGTAGTATGACGTACTCACGTACTGACGGATTGGCAATGCAATCATAAAAACGAAACAAGAAAATGTGTGCATGTGACGGGTGTGAATTTATGTGGAATTGAAGTTACAAAAATAGCAAAAATTCTTAAACACTCATATTTCTTATGGTTCTGTAATATTACATTTAAAGCATTTACAATTATGTGAAAAATGTGCAATTAATGTTCTTTTTTTCTAATTTTTGTTATGAAATATGGGTAATTAAGTAGGTGATAATAAATATAATCATGGGCGGCGGTAGTTACTTACTAGGTGAGATTAGGTGAGCCACATGCTCGTTTGCCCCTGTTATATAAAAAAAAAATACATTCACTTAAAACGAATTACACTTCAAAACTTAAAAATAATATTCACTAACTAGTTTATATTCCCACAATTAAGCTTATTTTGTGTTGGCGAATATTCAACTTCTATCTCGCTCTAAAATATATGTTATTGTGTTTTCTTTCTTACATAGCCAATCTTTATACTTTTACTTTTTAATATTCGGTAAGTAGTTTCAATCAAAAAGAACAGGCAAATAAGTCGACTATTGCTCTTTTCAAACAAATGTCGGATTTTGTTACGAATTTTTATGTAACTACAAATTACCAGCATAAAATACTGTTATCAAATTTAAGATTTATATTAATACAAAAATAGATCAGTTATAAGTGACAAGAGAATACAACAAGTATCATCTGATATCTTTCTATCATCGTACGACTCGCCATCGACAAGGAGTTCACCCTCATACCTTACAGCCTAAATAGTCGCATACTACGCGGTTTCAGAGATGCTTTCTCCCACGAACACTCAGGTTATGGAATGAGCTCCATGCCGAGGTTTTCCCAAGAGACTACAACATGGGGTTCTTCAAAAGGGGGGTAGAGAGGTTTCTTCAGGGTCGGCAACGCGCGCGTAATACCTCTGGTATTGCAGGCGTACATAGGCTACGGTAACCGCTTACCATCAGGTGGGCCGTATGCTTGTTTGCCACCTCAGTGGTATAAAAAAAAAGTATGAAATAAGAGCCAACTATCTTTAAGGAGCTGAACCATGTTTTAAGGAGGCCCACAATCTGAACTACCAGGTAATCACAAATCTGAATATTTATACGAGTATAAATTATATAAACCACCTATGTTATAGGTACTATACTACGTTATGTAGTTGATTAATCTATAATGATATATTCTAGTAATTATTAAGAGCTGATTACAAAACTTGATTATAGTTAATTCAAGTGCTTTGAACATAGATGCATAAATTGGTCAATCATATTTATCGCTGGGTATTTTGTTAAACTTGTAAAAACAAGATGTACGTATCTACGTAAAATCAACTAAGTTACAAATGTTTAATCCCGAAATCTACATTATTACAAAACAAATAATAACTTCTATTAAACAACAAGATATTAAATAAGGCCACTTTGAAATATTAACATTATAATTTTTGTTTATATCGATCGTATCAAGCACTTTTCTTTAATGATCACTTATATTTTATTACGCTAGATACTAAAATTAAAATATATTGGCTAAAAAGATACCAAGATACCTGTAAAATGGTAAGGTTATTGGTGATCTCATACGCTGTTTTACGATAGAAATCAACAAGGTACTTCAGCCTTAGCAATTTATTAGCCCGTAAGTAATGCATCGCCGTCAAAGGATACCTTAAAAATATCGATTACTTTGTTATAATTATAGATGGGATAGTAATCCGTTAGAACAATCCAAGTGTTTTGTGTACTAATGAAATCATTTTATAATTTTATATCTCAAAAAAATTAAACCAAAGCCTTTATTATTAATTTTTTTATTGATATTTTATTAGAAATAGACTTACTTACTAACTAGAATTTGGTAAATTTATAGAAGATGGATACGGAATGTCACAATTCCTAAAGAAGACTCTTTAGGTTTCGCAAAAAGTATAGATTGAATAAACATCCTATCTATACTTTTAGCGAAGGCTACAGGGTCAACGAATTTGTAGCGTCTGCGAGGTCAACTGCGTATACAGAATCTGAAGCGTTTAGGCAGTCTATTGAGTCTACGAAGCCAAAAACTAACACAATTTTCCACCTCAATCATTACATAATTTCTCACACATTATAAATTATTTCCACTACGACCTTACTTTATGGGATCATTGGATATTACGAGTATCAAATTTTAGTGAACCAATAACGGAAACTGTTTCAGAAGTTACTTGCAAGATTTGGGTATTGGTAAACATATAAGAAATATTTGACAAATATTTCATAACTGTAATACTACTGGTGCACATGGTGATTATAAAGTTATTTATTAATTTGGCATTTACAGTCTTGGTATAATTAATATAGGATTTAGACGGAATGAAATCTATTCGACTAAAAAGAACTCATGACTCTTTCTCCACAGTTATCGCAAATAAAAAATACAGTTATATTGTTTACCACTTTTATTTGAAATGGATTGAAAAAAAATTGTGTAAGTAAACAAGAAATTAACTTACGGACTGCAAAATCCGAATAGCTCTAAAGGTAAATTTACTAAAATGTCAGACCATATCCATAGCTTATGTTTATAATATCTTCTTCTACACTTTCCTGGAGCCATTATTAAATCTCCGTGTTTATTTATAAAACCCTAAAACAAATAGGCTTAATTGTATTTAATAAAATTTATGATATTAATATCATAGTCGCTAAGTAGTCAAGAACGACAAGTCGCTATTGTAAGTTACATAACTATAGAAGGTCAGGTATTTTAAATAATAAATACTGAATAATATTTATCCAGATCTATTATTTATTTAATATATTATTATTTATTTATATTTAATATTTTTTTCCTGGTAATAACAATGAGATATCTTGCAATACTAATAAGCATTATATATTACCACTATGTGCATACTGTACATGTAGGGGGGGAGAGGAATTGCTAGCAATATATGTTGTCAGGTCGACCTTCCCGAGGTCTCCCCGCCACTTCTGGAAACCATCGTGCTGAATTCTATATCTGTTAAATCAGTTAGCCCACCATGATGGGCTAACTGACCAATTTTTTTTTTCTCTCCTATCATCCCATATTGGTGCCTCGCCAGCATATACCGTTAGCGCAGGCGAGATTATCATTCCATTATCATCCATTATAATCCTATACAATAGATGCAGACATCACGCTATGTGTGTACAAATAAGATCTTATCCCAAATATATTAAATCACTATGGATACCTATCCATATGAGCCGTTAAGTGTCCACTGCTGAACATAGGCCTTCTCTGGGGGGTATATATATTATCTATATAGATTCATATATAGTTGATATAGAGGTACACGTTATACTAACTAAAAGATTACATGATGCTGACGATGTCGACTAAAATAGTTCACCTACATGGTCGCGTACTATTGAATCATCACAACAAATGTATTTATATATACCATTAAGCTCCTTCAAGAAGTCAACAAAAAGAGTACATTAGAATAAAAAATTACCTGATGCATATTTAAATAAATTTTAAGATAAAAAAATAGATCAAAAATTGTATGTATCCAAAATAATATGAAACAATCATTTAACGTCACAAGCTCGTATAATCCGAGAACATAATTACATGTTGCCATCAAACAAGTTATGTATCCAAAACTCTGCAAAAAATATTCATTTTATTAAAAATAAATTCATATAAATTGTACACAAAATATAAAAAATTAAATGCTGTTCGCTGGTAAATATTATATAAGACTTGAGAACGAGTACGTTTTTAGGAAAATAAAAAATGTAGGACACGATTACACATACAAATTATTGTAATCTATGCATGGTATATTCATAAACACTTCTATCTACTATTAACTACATATTTATATATTCCGAACAACGAATAAGGAACAATTTATAAATATTATAATTCATCATTATCATCATTTCAGTCATTACTCGTCTACTGTATTATAGTTATTATAGTTTAATTATTAAATCGTTTATAAAAGTCCTAAAGCATCATAGTTAGTAAAACTATTTATTTCTTCACTTTCAGTAAACAATTAATATATAAAATACCTATATGGATTCTACTTCCACAGCCATTTTTTTTTTCAAATGGATCATTATGAAATAGTAACCCCACCCGCGCTATCGGTATACACCGGCGGGGCACCAGTGAAGGTTGATAGGTAAGCATGAAGCAGGTCAGTTAGCCCATCGTGACGAAAACAACAAGAATTTTTCACAATGGTTTCCAAGGGGAACCACGTGGAGGTCGACCTGGCAGGGCATATTGCTAGCAATGGGGCTGTCAAACTGCATTGCTAACAATACCTTTCCCTCCTCTACACACATTATGCAATATGTAAACGAATACCTACCGATCCATTATAAAAATGAAAGAAAGTTAAAAAGGTAACTCAGCAACACAAGTACCTATACCAGTGTATACAGCATGCCTAGTTAATTCCGTTCCATTTTATTTTCACTAATTAGAGGCACTGGGAATTTCAACGATGCTTGTATTCATTATCATATAGCAATGAGTAATATTTTTTATTAAGAATATTTCTCATTTGTTTTAAGGGTCCGCATAAAAAAAGTGTTACAATGAACGCTTATGCTGCATATTATTTATTTTGCTTATACCATATTATTTTGCATTATTATGATAATTTTTAAAAATGCCATGAAATAAGAAAGTGATCCTTTATTTTCCTAATTTTGGTATCATCATCATCATTTCAATAGTTAATTGTATACTACCACAGATAATATAATTCTAGACACTGCTGAATATAACTCGTCTACACTGGACCGTTTTTCTTATTGCTGTTTATATGAATAAAAATATAAATCGATGTAAAAAATCGTCCTTAAATATCTTTTATATTTTATTATATGGAATTTAAATAACATTAAATAGTGAGCCGGCACAGTGCGGCCAAACGTTGAGAGTAGAACATTCTCTTGTTAATTTTATTAATGAAACAATCTCTGTGATTGCTCAGGATGGTGCAGTTTATATTTATATATGTATATTTACATGCTATGCTATTATAAAAAAAAAATTAAAGCGTACTAAAAACATCATTGTTGAATATCTCTATATATATGTAACGAAATTAATAAACATAAGTTTTTAAAAAGAAATATTGAATATTATATACATTTACATATATTAAGTTTTATGCGATACGATAAATAGGAAACTTTCACAAGTCAATAGAAACACCAACAAATAAAGCAATATCAAACATTGGCTCATAAATTAATATTTACATTACCGTCGCTTGGTGACAGAATCAACAGAACCAATAATGCAAACGCTGTGTCTTGTTTTATTATGATTAGGTACAATTCCCGCTAACTACATGATAGGTACCCGTTTTCCCGAAATAGAAGTATTGTACTATAATATAGGAATGTTTCATGCCATTCCAGCAGACCCCTAGTTCGACGACCCGAAGCTGGTATATAATTTTGCCAAGACATTTCTTTCATTCCTGTTATTTGATTTGGGGGGTCTTTTTGTTTGTTAAAATAAATCAAACGATGCCCTACAATTTATTAAAGTAGGATGGGACTGACGTGCCTAAAAGGACAAAAGTCCCTAAATAAATAAAAATAAAAAAAAAAGTATTGTATTAATTAAGAGTGTTTACAATTATAATTAATTTATAGCTCTTCAACATTATGACAGGCTATAAATTGTCAAAGACTATTAAATTTGTAATTGGATTTTTTATTTTGTCACTTCATTTCATACTTCATATTTAAACATTTGTATATTTTTATATAACACACGGGGCAAACGAGCATACAGCTCACCTGATGATAAGGGAGTATCGGTGCCCATGAGTACCCTTAACATCAGGGGTAATGCAGGTATGCTGCCGGCGTTTTAAAAATGAATATGCTTTTTTCTTGAAAGTTATAATGACGCAACGGTGTGGAAATACTTCTGTTGGAAGTCGATTCCAAAGTGTGGTTGTGCGTGAAACAAGGTGTTTTGAAAAACGCACGATGGAGGACCGCCACTCATCCAAACGGTTAGGATGGTATTTTAGTTTGTGGCGGGTTGCATGGTGGTAAAAATTAGCAGCAGGTATATAGGTGTATATTTAAATATTTAAGGGACTTGCTTTGTTAGAGCATTTTCATATTGTTTAACATTTTTTTTAATGATAAATAATGATAATGTTGTAAATTTTAGTATGAATGCTCTTAACGTGGTCTCATATTTACCTGAAACAGCCATGTGCCGGGGCGTAGCAAATTAGAAAAATCCACATAACTTTGATACGTCATTATGCTGATCGATGACTTCGCTTGGCTCATGTTCGACTGTGATTGTGAGCTACGTATTGACATATGACCTATGTTGGAAATGCGAGGTATAATTATTTATTACTTAAATGTTTTTCTCGGTACATAGGCAATACGAGATATTGGTGTACAATAAACAAAATATTTTAACAGCTTGAATTGTTTAAAATGTTAAATGTATACAAATAAAATATGCACTTTATCAACTGCACAATTAACAATTGCATTAGCAATTAATTATATCATTTATTTTATACACTAACACAAAAACAGTAATAAAATAATGTACAATTAAATAAAACAAGGTAATAGGCGCATAATTGAAGCAAGTAATACGATCTTTATTAGGTATGGATTATAAACTAGAATAATAATGATATAAAGTAGCTAACAAGATAATTACTTAGAATAAAATGGAGTTTCTGTATTTTATATATCTACTTTATATGCCTACTTATTAGTATATAACTACTTTTCACAGTTTAAGAGTTAATACAGTTAATAATCAATTATAATGAAGTATATATGTACATAAAAACAAACACTTTATACACATTATTACGTTTCATATAAATAATAACGAGTAGCTATATTCTTCTTTATTTTAAAGAATTATTATTTTAATAGAGAAATTAGAATACAGGCGTAATTGCCCGTATTTTTTTTTCTGTCACTTTAGTTATTTTATACCAAACTAAAGGTTTTGACCTTTTTTACAAATGTTATCCTAACTAATATAAAATCGTAAAATAAAGCTGGACAGTATCTAAAATATTTAAGAACACGAATACATATGAAATGACTTAAGGGCATTAAGTATGTTAGCTACTAAAGATTATGTAATGTATAAATTGTTAAAGGACTTTTATATACATTTCTCATTCATATAAGTAAGTAAATAAAATAAATATGAAAATGTTAAATTTTAAATTATATTTAGTAATAAAAACATAAAAACCTGATATATCAAATCTACTCGAACCGCTTCTTGAATCAATAGCTGATTCCAGAGAAAGTAAATCAACTTCTGAGTCATCTGAAAAAGATTAAAAAAATTAATGGTCTTCAAAATCATTATTAGTACATTTTATTTGAATCTCAAATATACAAATATACAATACAAGTCTAAAAAAGTCTATTACATCGATCATTTTTATAGAATAAATCAACATCAACGGAGCCTGTTATACGTAGGTATATAAAACTATCATATGGGTCGAATTCTGTATATTGATTTATTTGCTTGGAAAATAGCCAGAGTGCTAATTGTAATTTCGAATTATGAAATCACCGTTTCTGACTTGATATCTGTTTGTTATGTCATCATGGGAAAATGGCAAAACGGATTTTGATGAAAATCTGTTATCTACACAAGATGTTACTCTAAACTCAACTTTTAGAATTTTCAATTTATGAATGGATTGAGATAGAATCATAATGATAAAGTAGAATATGGAGATCTTTGATAATTATTATATTTACATTAAAAAATCTTATAGATTGCATTAGTATTAAACATTTACTTGACATGTTTCATCATCACCACAGCCATTATCTGTCTACTGCTGAACATAAGCCTCCCCCATAGACTGCCATAAGGAACGGTCTTAAGCCACCTGCATCCACTGACTGACCTGCAATGTATTTGAGGTCGTCACTCCGTTCAGTAAGGATCGTCCTAACTATAGTAGTTGCCCATATGGGGTCGTCACTCAAGAACCTTTTTTTTCTGATATGTTTACAAAATAAAATAAATTTCTATTGTATGTATTGTTATTCCTGTAATAAGCAAGGTTACAAGAACATATAATACAGTTGATCATGTAATTAAAATCTGCAGTACATAATTAAGTCTATATTCAGATTTATATAACTAAGGATAAAGCAAAAAATAAATACCTTTCATATGAGACGCCATTATGAATATCCGATTCACGGTAACAAATTTCAATTTAAATTTTTCGAAGATTATCGATAGCCAAATAATTGTTAAAAAAAATATTCCATTAATTCAGAATTCAGTGTAGTCGAAATAAAATTTTCAATACCAGTAAATTCCAATAAATATTATTGGGATTTATATATTTTTTATTTAGTTACATGTTTTCAACCGACTTCAAAAAGAAGGAGGTTCTCAAATAAACTATATTTTTTATGTTTGTTATGTCATAAGTCCGTCAGTTCTACACCGATTTGAATAATTCTTTTTTTATTTGAAAGGATATACTTACAGATTGGTCCCAAAGAAATTTTATCAAATTCGATTCAATAGCTTTAGAATAAAATAAACAAAAAAGGTTTTGAGATAATTGAAGTCCGCTTTTTTGTGGAGAAAAGTGCATTTATTGTCACACAACTTATTTCATTATATTTACATATACTATATATTGTCGACAACTGAAAATAAAAAAAAATGTAGCATTTTTTGTTATAGTACGAGTAATTTAAATAATTTACGTAGTGACCAACCTGAAGAGCTCTCGTCAATAATATCCATAGTTATAGGCAATATATAGTCTTTGGACATACTGAACGCTTTATTTAATGGCTCCTGTACTTTAGGATAATATTTGATGAGATTGAAGAAAGTCTGCCCCGGAATGACTAAGAGATCTAAACTTCGGCTCGCGTAAATCGAAACAGCGGAACACGACACTGGTTGCTAAAAAAAGGAATTTGAAGTGTTATCAATGAAATAAAATATAAATTATACCTTGTAATGATTTCATATTAGCAAATTTCACTAAAAAATCACGGAATATTTAGTATAATGTCACTACATTACCTCTATTATTTATTATTATTGTCTTAGATTAAATTTTCCGATAAGTATAACTTTTGGTAACACTACAACTGTTGAAAATGAAAGACATCGCTCATGAATTTATTATATATATATATATATATATATATATATATATATATATATATATATATATATATATATGTCAATAAATGAAAATCGAAAATATTACTAATTGACATATTCATTCTACCAGTGCTATAAAGTATTACTTACTTAGTATTATATATTATTAGTATTATATACTTTCTATAAATGATTTTTAAATACTTACACCACTAAAATTTCCGAACATACCACCAGGACCCATACATGTAATCATTTCGTTATAAGATGTCAACACATCCACCTTAAAACAAAAGACAGAATATATCAAATATATTACTGGAAGCTTAGTTCTCCAGTTTAGATTTTAATTCATTCAATGTAACAATGCTCAGTAGAGTTTTAAAAGTAATATTTCTTGTAATATTATTATAAGCCTGAGAATAATATTCACATCCATAATAAAATACCCTCCTATTTCGAAGAAAAAATGTTTTTATGATGAAAAAGTATATAAATTCCTTGAATATGTTGAGGTTTGTGTGTGTATATAAAACAAGATAAAGTAAGGTAATAAAGACACTCCCTACTACAAAAAAAAAACTTATTTTGTATAATGTTGAAATTTATATATAAAAAAATATAAGGTATAATATTACACCGATAATTATCAGCAAAATAACTATAATATAAAGTACAGTCCTCTACCGATATACCTATTAGTGATTAAGTTTTTAAAAGGTAAAAAAACCTTCAAAAACACATGGCAAGTACGTGCACAGAATAAAAATAAAATACGCTAGTATCACGTAATGCTATTTATTACCTTCCCTCTATAAATGATGTAAATGTAGGGCTGTATATCTGAAACTTGTATGACAGACTCGCCCTTAAGGAAGTACATCTCATGCAGGTGCTGTGTGATGACCCTGATGAAGGATCGCTCCACTTTCCCAAAAAGGGGCACTTCACGTAATGCTTTCTCGTACATAAATACTAACGTGTCTTCCATAAGAGCCGAGTTCAGACAACGGCAAATTTGCTAAAGCAAGTAAAAATTAAAATAAATAATTACTAATATTATAAACATGAGAGTGAGTTTATTATTACCTTTGATATCTTAAATCATTCGTCATAACATCTGGTACGCGCATGATATTCTGACCGTAAGGTCCCGGCATAGAATAGGTTACCCCTTCTTTTGCCGTGGATGTCGGAAGAGGCGACAGGGAGGGCGAGCGACGGGCAGTAGCATCCCTCTTAAAACATCTTAAAAGCCTGATGCGGTTGCTAATCCGCCTGCCAATAGTGGCAACTATGGAAAATCCCCTAAGGGGGAGGCTTATGTTCAGCAGTGGACGGCTAAAGCCTGATATGATGATAATATTTAGGAAGGACAATAATAATATATCCCATTCACGTGAACGAAAACGTGAGTAAAAGCAAGCAATTTACAAATATACAGTACCATAGTACATAAAAAAAACTTCTGTTCCCAATACCCTTAAGCATAATACTTATTTCCAAAGTTTGTTCAAATAAATGAAAAAAAAACCTGAGCATTGCTTCCATTCGTCCTTTTCCACACATATTCGAAATATTTCAGAGTTCTCGCTGTTAGTATTGGGTCAACATTCTCTTGGTACAGAAAGTTCGCCAAATCTCTTGTTTTTTCCTATGAAATATATAGAAACAGAGCTCATTAAAACTAAACTAATTACTGCAGTAGTCCGTAATATTTTTAATGGTCAAACTTTTGCCATCTGAAACAGGTATATGTTACGAATACTCTTTCATTTCTTTTTATTACACAAATTTCAATAAAAGTTACCTATTACTGGTATATATGGGTTCTTAATATATATTGTACTTTGAATAACACAAATTGCAATATAATAGTTACATGACGTTATATCTTCATACAGAGTTCTTTATGAGGTAAACAGAGCGAGCCTAACGATCCCTATTTTTAATTATAAGTTGTTTTCTCACTCTTGAAATTGATAGTTTGTAAAAATTATTAATATTTAAGTTATTTTATTTACATTATGTTCCAATAATGCATGCGCATCTGCTGATCGCGTCGATGATACATAACCAAACATGAAAGCGAAATATAGGAAGCCTGTGACCTGGAGGATCATGGTCAGCCACACGTCCACAGTGTTCTGCACACCCACCGGGGTACACCCGCATCCTGTACAAACAATAATGAATACGGTATTATCATGTTTTCTGTAATTCTTAAAATAGTAAAAAAATAATCTCTTTTGACCCAATTCACCATGTTCCACATAAAGGCGGAGTCAAGCGTCTTTGAAATGAAATGAAATGAAATTTATTTGCTAGAAACATTGTAGAAAAGGTGTTGCATTTGTGAAGTTTATAAGATGTCTATTATGTTTCGCCACATCAAATGGCATGCAAATATTAATTATTGAATTTATCCATTGGCTATTTTATACAGGTACATTATATATTTAATTTTCAATTACATATACAATAAATCACTATTAGTACGAAGTGCCACTTTGGTCATGCATTACAAACAGTCAATAAAGCTTAGCTTGGAATTAGCTTGCGTACTTTAGGCGAATTATGAAAGCACGAATGTGAGGAACATTGTGATTGAGATTTGAAAGAGAGAGAGTAGACTGAAAGATGATGTAGAGACAAAAATTGAAAAGTGAATGTTGCGTTGGATTAGCTATGCTATTTGTGGAGGAGAGAATGGATCAAAGAAAAATTACGAAAGATATATAGTAGTATATATATATTGGTATAAGTCGCCCTAGATGGACATATGTCGACCAAATAGGCGACATGCTAAAGAAGAGCCAAATTAAAAGTACCCTTATCTGTCACGCTTGTCTCCCGAGTAACGGGAGACAAGTGTGACAGATATGTATGTATGAAGTATAAAATGTATTTGAGTATAGATGCCTTTGATACTCGGTTATGTGTGCCAACCCTGCAAAAAATTTTACTTTAAGCTTTATTGCCCTTATTGTGAATGTATCATTCGATGTGCTTATATTTTACCGAGCATATTATAATCCATGACCATTTTTAAAGAGCGTAATAGAAGAAAAAATAGAGAGCAAAATAGTAAAGAGAATACCGAGGAATAACGCATATAAAATCCAAGCATATAAAATATTTTTCAAATCCAATTTTGTCCTACTCGAATAAAACTTCCTCGTCTGTGAAAGCCCTAAAACTCATTATTTAATGAGCAATCCCTATCAATACACTTTGCCATTTTGAAAGACGTCTAATTACACTCAATAATTTATGAAAGGCATGTTTCCCCGATAACATTAGACTAGTAATTGAATATTGCTGGTAGTAACTATAATTACTCGTTAATATACAACGATGCTCCATTATAACATCCATCAGAAACTGTCATGTAATATTCTAATATAATTACGCGTCACTAAGTTGCTGTAAACAGCTGTATTCTGTTCTATTTGATAATAAGGATATATTGTGGTTATTAGGTACTTAAATTAATTAATTATTATTACCAACAAACATTTCGAATACCCAGAAAAACGTTTGAGCGTATTCTGTTACCGCATCTGAAAATTTTCAATACGTTTATTGTATAGTCTAAGATCTCGCAGCTGTCTTCTGTAGGTATAAAACTTTTTTATGAAACTTTTTGTCATTCTATATGAATAAACTTACGTTTAGTGTAGGTTTTTTTTGCAAAAGATTTACCTATAACTGAAGCGCCAATATTTAGAACAAAATTTTATATGCACGCAACCGCTGATATTTTTATAGACAGTCATAAATATGTTACTGTGTATAGAAAAGAATAAACTCTTATTTGATATAAATGATATCAAAAAGCATGAGCTTTCAACAAATTCACCAAAATTGTAACATAAGTTCACCCGGCATTAGGTTGCGGGTACATAACATTAACGCTCGACTTTTATCTACATCAAGTTTAAATAAAAAGTCTTATACCTGTGGAAGTCAACGGCGGGATCTTAGACTATTAATCAAAATCTTTATTAAAGTCTATATGATTACTGAATACTACCAGAGGGAGACTTTGTACAAAAGTCGATTGCTTGGGTACCTCTGTCCCCTTCGTGTTTCGACCGTGAAGTAGTTGTATTTGCATGGCTGTGTTTCGGTTTGAAGGGTGAGATATGGCGTGAATTTACAGGGTACAGAGGAATAATACCTGAGACCTCAGGAATGGCATCGCATGGGGGTATCATGGGCGAAACAATATACTCTATTATGTCCATGGTACTGCTCATGTCTATAGGCGACGGTTACCACTTTCCATCAGGTGGGCTGTCAGCTTGTTTGCCATTCTAAGTTAGATAAAAAAAAAGTAAGATATTCAATCCGTGTGTAAATTATCAGTGTGCATTGTAAAAATGTTCAAGTACATATATGTTTGTAATATCCTTATTAATATTATCGATATGAAAGTGTTTTTTTGTGTATTAGCTTTTAGCGACGTAACGGCTCAACTAATTATCATGAAATTTGGTAAATTGGGAATATACTTTTTATTCTGATCAATGAAAATAATTTGGTTATGCGGATACAGTTGCGGGTAATAACTAGAAAATATATCAACTAAAAGTTTATGTATTTATACATTTTAATTAATTACAAAAATACCTTATTATTCTAATAAACAAGTAATAAATATATATAGCTATTATATATATATATATATAACGATAAAAATAAAGGCTTACATTTGACTTCATATCTATTACTAGAAACTATCAAAACTCGGGAACAATTAACAATGATATAATTAGAATCTGCTCTCAGAAACGGTACACAGGAGTAAGTGAAAATGATGGAAGTGGCAATATTGACGACCGTTATTGCGAATGGTAAGAACTTCAAAAGTACTACCATAGGATTTAAACGCATTATATCACTCTCCCAGTATGAGAAAGTTCCAATGATTCTAGTCACCTGAACAATAAGAAAATTATTTTATTGTAAAAAATAATTACAAAAGAATTTTCGTCTTCGAAGTTCTTTTCGATTATTTGTTATATAGAAAAAAAAAGTATGTAGTTTATTTGTTATAACCAACTAAGCTATTTTGATGACCTATTTGATAACTAAAATCAGAATACTTAAAATGACCAAAAAAAAAACCTTTCATACATACAATATAACATTTGCTCTATAATATTGCATTTGCGGGTGCTGCTTGTAGGGACTGGTCTGCTCTAATCACTATGACTGATTTCCTCTTATTAATTGTTTAACCAGTTGGTTATGTATTCAATTTTTTTTTTCTTTTTGAGTATTTAATTGAATTAGTGCTAATTGGTGGTTTGTATTCACACAATATAACTTAAAAATGTAAAATAATAATAAAATTATTTAAAAGAGCATCACGCAAGTTTCTTGCTCGTTCTTCTTGTGATGAGACAGCTTTCCGAACGAGCGGTAAATTAAAAAAAATGTAATGACTTTTCAAAAGTGCTTCAATGTAAGTTTATTTGAATAAATGATTTTCTATTCTATTCTATTCTATTCTATTTCATTTAAATAGCTTGAAAATTTCCTGTTTCACTGGTAGTGACTTTGATTCCCCTAATTTGTTATTAAAATTAAATTGCTCAATTACTTCTCAAAGATTTTACAAATAAAGAACGCTTCGCTTTGTACTTCAACAGTATCATTTTACTTAAGATTATGTACTAAAATTTGTATGAATGAATAAGGGGAAATAGATAAAGAAAAAAATTGTTTACATTTTAACCAAACTTACCAGAAGCATACGATTCATTCTGTACAAATCCACATCAGTATTATCATTAATGATCTTAACCTAGAAATTCATTTATGTTTTTTTTAAGTGTACACAAAGTAACATTTATTAAAATTTTGCGTTTATTAGCACTAATTAGTAATGGTAAACTTTCCATCGACTACATCATCAACTTCTTTATCACATCAGAAGCAAAAAATTATAAAATAAAAAAAATAGTAATATTATAAGATCTTTTTCAAAACTCTACATACCATCAACAACACTAGAATGCATCGACAGCGTAAAAATAATAATATGCATCATCGTCATACCAGCTTTTAACTGTCCACTGCTCTCAATACACTGAACATAGGCCTCCTCCTATTGAAGGGGTTTTCCCAGCAATTGCTGTTTGACAGTGCGGTTTGACAACCGCAGTTAAGCTTTTGATGATGTTTTTAGAAAGACAGTGTTGCCCATCCCTCGACCATTACGTTCCCTTAGTCGCCTCTTACGACACTTACGGGAAAGGAAAGAATAGCCCATTCAAAGCCAGAACAACACAGCCAGAAACAATAATAAATAACTGTATCTAAAATGCTAATGCACCAACTAAAAAAAGTAAAATTCTAGATATAATAATATGTAAGTGGAATAGAAAAGTGCAGTCGGACCTTTCAATAGAGAAAAGTGTATTATTACCAATTGTTCGATCGGAAAAACGCTGATAGCATCGAGAAAAAAGGCATGTTTCAAATATCGAGAGACGGTGAGTAGAGGGTGGGTGACCAACAAAGAATGTTCGTTGTAGTAAGCCACATACGCCATTATTACTATATCTATGTAGAGTATTATGTCCGCCCAACTGTATTCACCTCCATACTTATTCTGTTTTGTCTGAAAATTTTAAAATATTTTTATCAAAAATTTACATTGAAGTCACTTTAAATAAATATGTGGTAGTATCATATATATATATATATATATATATATATATATATATATATATATATATATATATATATATATATATATATATATATATATATAACAAGTTTATGTAAATTACGTTTACGTTAATTGTTACGAGAGTAGACAGTATCTTTGATAATATAAATATAAATAATCCATATCCAGGAGTCTCACACATTTCATTTACTCTGATTCCTGTTTGTAATCATATGCTGAGATATTATAAATGCGAAAGTTTATAAAGATATATGACTGAATGAATGGGTGTTTGTATTTTTAAAGCAAACACCACTGAACGGAATTGAATGAAATTTGGTACAAGCTTACGTTGTATTGTAACTTAAAAAATAAGATATTTTACAAGTTGATTTAAGCGGGTAAAGCCACAAGATACAGCTAATATAATATAAATATTACTTACAGCCATATTATAGGGTATAGTGACGATATAAAATGCAGACATTATGAAACGCACGGTACACCAAAACTTCAGAAATATACCATGTGGAGTGATACATCCAGGTAGAAACATATATCTAGTATACCTGAAACATATCCGTTGCTTAAACATTATGTTACAATTTCATATATCTAATATTCACCATTTAAGTAATCTATCTTTTCCTTCCCACTGAAATTCAATAAAAGTAATTTATATATTTTTTCTGTCATGGAAGGTCTATTCCAAGGTATGCAGAGACAACAAAATGCCAAAATTCTCAATCCTTATATTACATTTCATTTCTTATTTCGTGCATTTTTATAACTCATCGAATGCATACATTTCAATTCAAAAGACTCGATAATATATAATTTATAAAATTGTTATAATGTTATAATCTAGTCTTGTTTTACAAAATATATAGAATACGTAATTATATTTAGGGAAAAGGCGTTAATAAATTTTATCTCAGTAAATTTAACATAGCCTTGTTTTTGACTGTTTAATAAAATAATAGCAAATCCGTTTCAATATAACTTGTCTTTTATTTCATAACGTAAAGTCTGAGCTTACAGCGTAATGTATAAAAAGAAAAGCTTATAATTTATTATCTACTAAGCCAATTTCCTTACAACCAGTATAATTTTTTCAATGTTTAACTTTCCTACCATCTATTACAGGCTGAAATTCTGACACCTCAATTACGAAATCTAAACCTCAAGTAAAATACAAATGAAACAGCGTATCCAATTTTAACTTGGCTTTAAATATAAATTATCACAACGTTGTATCTATTGCTAGAAAATAATAGTAATACTAATACTTTTTTATGTATTATTATAGCTGAATTAATTTAATTAAAATTTTATTTAGGAATACTATGAACCCTAAAGGATCATGCTGACAATGTTATCTTACATAGAGGAATTCCGATTTGATTCCTATATGAACCAATTTAGAATATGAATTTTCATTTATTAAGAAATATTCTTCTTAGATAAATTTGATTCTAATTTAAAGACTTAGTCGTAATAGTGAATAAAGATAAATATATAAGATAAGTAAATTGATAAATTGCTTTATAAATAAATAAAGATTAATTAGTCAAATTTGATCACACTTTTATTACGGTTCAAAGATTTCTTTCTTAACAATCATCTAATAGACACGTCTGGATGGATCAATGCGTGCCGAATTATCATGAAATCATTCGACCATGCCAAGAGCATTAGGCCACTTATTGTTCTTTACATTGTGCTTTTATATTACAGCTTTTAATAACGTTCAATCAGTCCGATCGAAAATTTTATACAAGTCTCACAAACTTACCTAAGTGCTTCTATATCTAACTAATAGTCACGAACGAACAATAAAGCCCTTCATCGTGTTTACATAACTTTGATCATTTTCTTATCCATTATTTACCTCATGACTCCCAACTTTTCGAATGTCTTCACATACTGTGCCTTCTCCTCGCGGCCGCTTAACACCACAAAACTTTCCTTTATCTCTTGCTACAACAACACAGAGTTTTGAAACAAGTCCGCTAACAAAACTTAGCAAAGTATTAATTTGATCACCATTTACCGCAATTCTGTTTATTTTGGCGTCCAGCCGACCCGTTAAAGGTTTCGCGTCCTCGTAACGTTTAGCGCCTTTGCGAAGTACAGGGTCTTCTAGAACCTGCAAAAAAAACAAACTTTCCAAATATTACAAACATTAAATTATATAGGCATTTCTATGTGGATATGAATGTATGAATGAAAACCCTATTGTTCCCTTTAAAGAATGATACAGATTAGAAAGAGTAACACTATGTACACAAATAAAATTAATACCTAATTACATAAACCTTTATTGCATAAAAGCAAGGTAATGGGCATTATAAATTATTCTACTCGTATATCGTAATTAGTGACTACATTCGGCTTCGTAGGTTTTTTATAATTTGCAGCCTATGTTATTCGGTAATAATGTAGTTTTCTATAGGTGAACAATTATTACGAATAAATTCGATTAACTGTTTTTTGAATTCATCTATTACAAATAAAACATATTAGTCTATAATATTAGTGAAGATAAATATCTCCTGTCATACATTATTCAACTTTGTTTTATAAACAACTTTATCTAAAGAAGGAATTATAGAATCGCTTTAGCAGGAAAATAAGTTTCTTATCTATAAATAGAACACTTGTAACGTTACACTAAACATAAAAAAAACATGCGGCAAGCTATATTTCCGTATAGTACGAGTATGACAATTTAAACCCACCCACACCCAAGTGAGCAATCGTGCATACGTATCTTTATTTCTCAACTAGCTTTTACCTTCGACTTCGTTCGCGTGACCGGAATATGTTACCGACCGAGATAAAAAGAAGCCTACCTATGTCATATAGTACATGTATATCTTTGTATGTATATATAGTATATGTATAGTGCTTGATTAAGCCGTATAAATATATGTCCAATATATCTTAATTAATTTTTGAATAAGAAAACAGTTACTCTCGTGCAAAAGCATTAACCACAAGAAATATATTTACAATTTGCTATGTTTATCTCTCTAGACTAGCTAACTATTCTAACTTCGTCACCGTCTGGTTAGCCAGTAACATTTTAGCTAATGTGTTTGCCACTAACTACACTATGTACGTTGAGTACAGCAATATTAAATGCATGAATCACCGTGATAATGGGATGACTAATATCTGGGAAGGTGCCCCAGCACTGCACCAGTGCACTGTACTCCACATGCAGTAATATACAATTTGTCGTTGTCACTACAGTGTACACCTGTGAAATTAAAGTGCATTATGCAATATATCAACTGTTTTATATAGAGGTGTAAATTGTATATAAAATTTTTAAACAATCTATTAAAATGTCACAATATTGTACACTGCTGTATCCGATGACATTGATGCTCCTTTCCACTTTGGGTTTGCTGAAAGAAAACTGTATCAGAGTTAAGCTCGCCTTTGTACTTTTGATTACCTCTGTCATATTCTTATAACTAGTGTGTACAATAAGGAATTAAATAAAATAAATAAATAAAATAAAATATGACGCCCGGAGTGATGGGCACGTTGCTTTGTGTAAATGAGGTTACGAACGCGATTTCTGGTCGGATCAATTTAGGAAATAGACTTTTTTAATCTAAATCTAATTGTTCTGAGTTGTGCTCCTAGACGTTTGCTAGCTAATCATATAACAGGGTGACCTAGCTTAATAATTGGCTATTGACTATGGGGCATATATTATTATTATTATTAATTTAGTTTCTATATATATATAGCCAACATAAGATAAAGCGAAGTATTTCAATATAATGCCCTAGCAGAATAGGTCTAACTATTCTTATATTTAGAGGCAGCTACAGCATTTTTAATTATTAAATGTTATTAAATGAATAAAGATATTAATAATATAAACAACTTATGAAAAAAATGATTAAATTATTTAAATTGAATTTAAGTTAAATTATAAATAAATAAAATATAATATATAAGCGAGGTACACCAATTTTTTAATTTAGACATGAACATACAGTGATTATTATTGTAAATATCAAGATCAAGCTTGGTTTTTACAATATTATTATACAATACAATGTCATTATATTTTTATCGTAATTTTTATATCTATAGGTATGTATGTAATGTTGTATATTTAACAATTCACTACTTTGCTGGTGAATAACTGGAATTCAATCTATGTATCTAAATATAGCAACAATAATGAATCATGCATACTTTAGGCAACCCGAAGAGCATTTCCACAACGCCAAAGTGACTTCCGGGACCTATAGTCTTATCTATTTTCCCTCGATGATTCAATAAATTAGAATGTCCCTGTAATATTACTCTATATATATGTATATATATATATGTATATATATATATATATATATATATATATATATATATATATATATATATATATATATATATATATATATATATATATTATAATAAACTAAAAGATATTACTAGGTATATTGGATTAGGACCAGGTGGCTTGGTAAGGTATCATTTTAACATATTTTTTTCTTGCACTTTTTATTACACTTCATTCCATTAGTTGCCTCTTACGACACCCTAGGGATATGAAGGAATGGAAAATGTAGTCTTACTTTGTTATCTTAAGGAGAAATAAATATTTGATACTGTTAATAATATCCAGTTTTACCAGCGTTTTATCTTGTCTTCAGAGAACAGAAAAATAATATCCGAGTTGTCAGGAATGGCAACGCATGCGGAGAGCGGGGAGGGGTATCATGGGCGAAACAGTATACTGTATATATACGTCGCCTATAAATGTGAGCTGTCTACCATTTTCCATCAGGTGAGCCGTCAGCTTTTTTGCCATTCTAAGTTGCATAAAAAAACTACATCTGTGCCAAATTTCAAAGAGTAATAAAATAATATATGTTAATAGAATAAGGATATTTAATAATAAGCAATGTAAATTACAGTAGAAATATTAAGTTTACAATTGAAAGTTGATACGATCATAAGGCAATTAATGACGTAGGTACCTTTTGCAAAATATACATGTCACGTCCAATATCGCCTGCATGTTGTACTACTTCATTGTCGGGCAACACTATTGTTCTACTATTTGATGCTACCGTTTGCAAGAAATCACGGTTACAACCCTAAAACAACAATAACATTTTCTGTATTCTTTATTTATTATAAATTAACAATTGGGTGATAGATATTGTTTTTTATACGAAGCTATCTGACGACACCTTAGTACTCGGATTAAAGCTAATCATGAGCAATACAGTACACTCTGTTATGTCCATGGTACTATTTATATCGATAGGTGATGGTTACCACTTTCTATCAAGTGGATCGTCAACTTATTTGCATAAAAAGAAAAGCAACACAAGACTACAAAGCAATCACAACGCAGGTTCTATACATAATCTATGAATCACAACCATAGGAAGGAGAATAGATTGTCAGTAATGGGGACTAGTGGTCCCAGGGTAACATTCAACAGCTGTAAAATCGAGCTCCATACAGTTTCCCCTGAAAACAATGGTTAGGTGGGTTAACAGGCCTACTTCATTTTCACCTATCATACTGGCGGGGTGCCAGTGAGGGATATACTAATAATGTAGGCAGGGTTACCATTTCATTATCATCTCATACAAAAAAATCACAACCCTAGAAAGAGAATGCTAGGCACTATTCTTAATCTATGTTCACAATGTTAATTTTAAGAGTTGACACTAGTATTACAATGATGACACTACAAACGGAATATATGCAATCATCCAAAATCATCAAATAAATAAAATAAATACAAAATCGTAGTATACTATTCTAGTCTATAATTTGCTTTTTTCCAAAATATCGTCGAAAGTCTAACAAGTATAAAAAACCTACTTTCTAGTTAAAATCTTCAAATTCAAATCAATTAATTTCATGCATTTCATATAAACATTATTTCTTCAAAGTGACCCAGGCCAGCATTATTCTTTCTATAAGATTTATGTGTTAAGTAATTAATTTTGGTGCAATATTTTAAATCATAAAAATCAAATGTCGATTAATAAAAAAAAAAATACTGAATGCCAGCTACTACTACTACTACCGGAAAGACAATATTTATTTTTATAGTTCATTACCTGAAATATAGGACAGAATAATAAGGTTTCTACCATTTCTATACATAATACCTCTTGCTGGATATTAGAAGACATGTCTTTGAATATTTCCTCCGCTAATATGGCATTATTATAATACCTGAAAACATGCTTTAATTTTATCTTAGAAAGACGATCCAGGAAGGAAATATATAAGATTTCAGATTCTAGATCACGTCTAAATCATCTTTAACAAAGAGCTTTCTACAAAATTAATAATCGAGCTTGTAAACTAAGATTTTATACGTCAAGTCATAAAAACCCATTCATGATCATCATCATATCCGCCTTACCTTAGGGGATTTTTCCAGTAGTTGCCATACTTGGTGGGCAAGTTGACAAACGCAGTTAGGCGGTTGGTGATGTTTTAAGAAGAACACAGCTGCTCATCCCTCAACCGTTAAATTTCTTTAGTCGCCTCTTACGACACCTACAGGAAATTAAGTGGTAGCCAATTCTATGCCGGGACCGCATAGCGCAATGTATACGTGTATGGACACATAATAACTATAATCTAAGGATATAACTTACCACTGCACACTAAAAAACTTTCTTACACGTGCTTTTATTTTCGCACTGACACGATTCACCGTTAAAAAATAAAAAAGTTCTCTCATAGACTCCTGCCAAGAAAACGTATTACAATTATTAAAATTAAAATTTCTAAAAAATGTTACTAAATTGTATTTTATCACTATTTACATTTATTTATCTAATTAGGAGCAGGTAGATATATTAAAGATGATAGCTGAGATGCGACCCTAATAAATATTAAACTTAGTCGTCATTTACTAAAGCTGTACCTTATCACCCGAGGTACAGAGAAAATATTACAACGACACATTAAAAAGTCAAATTAATTTATTTATTTACATTTAAATATGCTACTTCTACAATTCAATAAATCGTTATAATCATAAATAGTTTTTAGCCGTGGCTTCGCTCGCGTCAATATTGACTTTGTTCAAAAATTCTGATTTTTATAGGTAGAGATAAAATAGTTACAAAATGAAAAAAACGGAAATAACATAAAACGTAATATAATTACAATATTATTAACATACAAGTAAACACAGATAACAGTTTTAACCAAGTATAAAATTAAAAAGTATTTGACACAAAGTAAAATAAAAATTAAAAAGAATTAGATGTAAAATAATGAATTTGAAAATAATATAAGACACTATCGCTCAAAAAAATAAACAAAACAACAATAACGATAAATAAACTGAATGCAGTTATAACATTTTTAACATAAAACTAAACACTAATACATGGTAGCAAATCTATACTAAGTATAAAACGAAACAATAAATTAACACTCAAAAGTGTATTAGATAGTATGCATGAAACTTGGTATTGACGTATGGCATTTCAGCAAGCATCTATTGAAGATTTCGTTGTTACACTCTCACCCTTAGACTTAGATGTATAATTAAATTATAAATTATAAACAATCATTCTGTAAGTTTAATGCAAATCATATCGCGCAATAAAAGTTCCAAGCAAAAATAAATATACAACCGTTTCCAGGAACACATCTATCTCTATACCAAAATTTATCATAATCGATTCAGCAGCGTAACAAATAAACAATCTTACTTTCACATTTATAATATTAGTTTAAAATAGTGATTGTTGACAATCAGTACATTTTTCATTTGTGACAAAAATGCATGTTAACATTTCTAAAATAAAGCAATTTTACGTCAATGTTTTTGAATGATATTATCTCTTTGTACTGTGTTGTCAAGAGTGTTTTTAAGAAAACAATATATAGTACAATTTATAAACATAAACAAAAGCATTATTATTCACAATTCATATTCACGTAGATACATTTTGATGTCTACAAATACTAAGAAACTGTACGTTCGACTGTTCTCAGAAATTGTCTACCATAGTTACTTATGTAATTCTCGAAATAATCATTCGAGTTACTATGCAAATACAATAATATCTATCGTACTGTCAAATTTCAATTCTCTGTAAAATTTTAATCAATGAAACGTCTTTCTTTATATGTAAACATCCAATTATATATATTCCTTATATAATAATCACTAGCTTTGTATTCCATGAGTTCGCCAGTTGCCATATCGTAATATTGAATAGTCTACCTATATAATCTTCCTAAAAAAAAGAGCTATCAAATGCAAAGATAATTTTTCAAATCTGACTGGTAGTTTCAGAGATTTCAAACGTACGGACAAACTCATCTGCTTTACTATATTAGTATAGATAATAAAGATCATACGTTTGGAGAAATAAAGATTTTTAATAATCTTCGTTTTAGCAATTCTTCCCTAGTACATTTTATGCAATTTGGAATGATTAACTCACATGGTGGATAACCGACCCAATAGAAAGTGGTAAGCGCCATCTATAAATATAAATATATAACACTATGAACATCAAAGAATACACGGGGATGCCCATTGGGCCTTTATACATTGCCACTCCTAAGATTAGGCCTCCGTATTTTATAATTTAACTGCAATCTGCCATAGTCTCCACCCTTTAAATCCTAATACAGCCATTCAACCACAGCTTCTATGAAAAGAAATCGGGTAAAACGGTTACAAACTTACCGGCTATTTCCTCCTACTTTACCCACACAGTTTCTTCATTTCCTTGTTTGTGGTCTTATAATGAACCTTTGTGCAAAATTCTACATTTTCAGACTCGATAGTTTCAGCTGATTGTATTAGTAGAATAGTGTATAGAGATTAGATACTCACTTTGAATTTTAATTTTCTTCGAGTGGCAAGTAAATATATACTGCAAATTTTCGCAGTGTAAAAACAAAATAGGTACGTTCCCAAAGCAAATATTAGCATTACCTAAAGACAAATATAAATATTAATAACTAATAATTTCAAGCTAATAATTAAAAAAAAACAGTTTTCAATAAGAGAAAAACATTAGTCTTTTCATTTTACAATTAAACATATGGTTGCCTTAATGTATTAAAAAACCAATAGGGGAAACATATATTAATATATTTTTTCATTTTCATTTTTCATATTGTATCGTCCCAAACGGCGCTTCAATCGATCGATTATTCGATTCTTAATCTAATGTCCACACCTCGCGGATATGAAGCGATTACACATTATTAAGTTGGAGGGCAGTTAGTGAACTTGTCCTTGCACTCGGCTTGAGATCACGTACCGTCGCGAATCAAGAGCATAACCGAACAGTGATCTAGGAGATCATCAAATTACAGATAAAATATTGTGTATTTAAAGATTTGTGTAGGCCTACCAATCAAGAATTTATAACAGCATCCAGTCAAAGGTGGAAAGCAGTGCGGCGCATGAGATTCCTTCAAGTAAGTGCACGTACCTTCTTAAATATTGTAATCGCTTCACCCTCATTATCAGAAGTAAGGACAAACGTATTTCCACCGCTTAACGGTGTCCCTATATATATATATATATATATATATATATATATATATATATATATATATATATATATATATATATATATATATATATATATATATATATATATATATATATATATATATATATATATATATATATATATAGTAAAAAATAATGTCACGGATGTACGGATATGCGACATTATTTTTATATAAGATGTAATTTAAATAATAAGTGAAAATAATAAAATAGATACACATTATAATAATAAATAGAATAAAATTGTAAGGAAAAAAATAGTCTCAATTTAATGGGAGTCCAAATCTGTGTTTCTCATACTTTTGTCAAGTTTAAAGATGGCAACCCTATTCAGGGATAAAGGCAGATACGCCTTCTTAAAACCACCCACTTTAAATATTTAATTCTCCCTGGAGAGCAATAGGTAAATACATAATGGAGCAGTATATGCTTTACGCACGATGACACCTTTTTCGTTGTAAAAATATATATTTTGCAATGTAAATTTATCTCCTTATCAAACTGACAAATACTATATTATTCTATATGCTTAAATCCGTACATATTATAACCATTCTAATTAAGATACCATAATATAAATATGAATTTAGATCGATCACTTGGAAATGTATTTCAGAAAAATACATCTAGTATCTTGAGCTATCAAACACATCGGACGAATATCTATAATATAAGGTACATATAATAAATAAATAACACTGGCATATTTTTTAATTTTTTTAAATAAAAACAAAAATTAAACTTTTAGTAATGCAGGCAAAATGACTAAATCGAGATTTTCCTAATTGAATGTGATTGTTCTGTTGCACATCCCTAATTGAACTTTAATATATTATTTACATGTTTATTGTAACATGAATTCTAGAAACAATGAGTCTATAGTAAATAGACATACCACAAATAAATCAGCTCTTCCTGGTGCTAAATCCGAAGTACCAGTGCCAGTGAAAACAGATGTACCAAAAGAAGATGACGTTAAAAAAGGTTTCTCGTGTCTAGCCTCATTTATCATGAATACCTTCGTTTCCCAAAATATTAACTGTGCCATCCATGATTTCTGCAACATTAATACACACGTTTTTTTAAACACGTTAAACACTATTATAGCAACCATAGGAGTATTATGGGCGAAACAGTATACTCTGTTACATCTATAGTACTGTGTATGTCTATAGGCGCGGTTATCACTAGCTTGGTCGCTATCCTAAGTTACATAAAAAAATTTAAATACTAAGAAATTCGCTACATATCTTACTAATATCATATTATAAAGAACTACCTTCTAATTATTATAAATGTAAAAGTGAATTTGTTTGTTACCTCTCAGCGCTTTAACTGTTCAATCGTCATGATATTTAGTATAAGTACACTACCTTTTAAGATGAAAATGGCTATATTTTATCACCCGTATAAAGTCGCGGAAGAAAGTTTGTCGCAATATGAACAATGCAATATTTTTGAACAGCCATTTCTTATGATTCCACTGTGTATTCCGATATGCAATTTAAATTGTAAATAGATAATTAATTTGAATCACTTACAGAACACAACAACAAACATAGATACACAACAAAGGAAAAAAGAGTATTTATATATAAAAATAAAAAACATACTATACATTTTATGTGATTATGTATAATAATGTATAATATTTTGAATTTATTCAGTCTTTTGACTGAATAAATTGACTACTGACATTATGTAAATCATAAAACATTGAAGAATATATTAGATATATTGTTGGAGTGTAGTAAAGAAGTAATATAAATTTTTTCGCTGACGGTATTTGTTTCAATTTGGTACAGAGTATGAATAGTGCTTGCCATGTTGAATATTTTAATATTCATAGAAAATTTCAAGGATTTTTATGAAAAATAGTAGATGTATTCGAAAGCGATGTGACCCAATGGTATATTACCTCGACTTATAGGCCCCAAAGGTCATAAGTTCGCATCTCGCCGACACTTAAGACTTTATAGAAATACTGTAAACATATCAAAATAATGAATGACAGACGAAGAACGGTAGACTCGTTCTCTACCACGTTGAATTCTAATATTCTCTTCGAAATATTACTCGTATATATTATCCGATTAATATAAAAAAATGCGAAAATTTATAGGTAAATAATAATAACGATAAATATTGAACGCATTCCAATGAATTTTAGTAAAATTTCATTCAAATACATTTAATAATCATTGTGTAAAAAACTAACGAACGTCTATTTATCCCTCTATCCTTCTTTATCTATCCTTACAAATTTTCAGAATTTTACTAAATTTCCTTCAAAGACATGCAGTATATTATTATTATCATTTATCTATAATATTCTAACTTAACACATTGGACTTTATGTACTAATTCACGCGAGTGAAGCAGCGGGACACAGTTAGTTTGATTATATGATTATGACTATATCAGGTAAATAGGTGTGGGCATGGATCTCGATTTATAAAACACGTAGTAATTAGTATTACGTATTTTCTTGGGTCCCCCACTTGAATTTCAATTTAATATTTAAAGATGTGAATACTTTATTTTTCAAAGAAGAGTCAAGACAAAAGCAAAGCGTGAGACGATCGATATCATAAACAAATGTCAAAATGACAATACAGAGATTGTTTACGAAACGCATGAACGTTCGTAAACGATCCTTTCTAAACCAATTATAATTTACGACAATTAGTTCATTCATTATTCGAGATTATAAATAAAATCAATGTAACTAGAACTTACTTCATGACATAATTTTTTTGGACAAGCGAAAAGGTACAGAAAACATCCAGACCAATAGCATAGTATGATGAATATTAAGCAATACTTCAACAGACATAGGAGCTGGAAATTATTTAATCGATTTAATATTTGGATCCACAAAAGAATTAACTTTTATTATAAAAAGAAAAAGAAGTATTAGTATACCTAATATATAGAACATAATATAAAAATATAATATAATTAGATATTTAGATCAACAAAACAGTATCTTTTGATTAAAGTCGTCAAAATTCATTCAAAATTAGAAAAGATAACAGAACACTTTAAAAAAGAAAACTAGATTAATTAAGAATATCTTCCTTTCTGTTGTTGTACAAATACATACGTTGAATTATTTTTACATATAATATAAACATTATCCGTTTTATAATATAAATGTATGTATATAAATTTCGGAGTATTAGTTGCCATACTTCTCCGAAACGGCTTAATTGATTTTTAATGAAATTTAGTATGTATACTCGGTAGGGCTGAGAATATATATATATATATATAATAAGGATGGCCCACTCCAAACAATTTTTCTAGAAAAAAGAAATAATTTATATGGCAAAACAACGTTTACCGGGTCATCTAGTATTACTATAATATATACAATATAAATACAACATAAACTAACTAAAACATTTAACTATAGAGGCAATTTGTAAATTTTCTCTTTTTTTGTACGCATTTTTCTTTATCGTTTAAAAAGTTTTACCCCGTGGGATGGTCTAAGAATATTACAATAAAATGAGAAATATTTAATCTTCTTATAAAAAGTCGATAAATGGACGACTAAAATGTTACTATGTAGTTATTACAATAAGTACGTGGATACAGACGAAAAAACAAGTGTATCTACATGATAAAGAGATGTCAATAATCCATAAAGCCATTTTAACAACTTATTGCGCTAAAAATCCAGTAACTTCACAGTAATTAAAACAGCAGTAGTAGTTATCATTATTACTCGTATGTTTATAAGATAAATAGAATGAAAGGGCAATATCAGACATTTTGTTTGTTCCCATGCGTAAAGTAACGAAAGCGTACCTACTGTTGTTATATTTGTTTATGAAAATCATGACATATTATGTTCACATTACAAAAAATGTCATGATTCTCCTTCACGTTAATTTCCAAATTGCTTAATCAATTTTAATAAAGTTCTGTAAACGTGTGTTGTTTGATCCAAATTGAAAGGTATAATATTTTTTATCCCGATAAGAAAAAATAAACACGGGTAGCAAATTCTGTTTTGCCCTTACCTACTGCCACAGTAGAGGGCAAAATAGAGTTTGCCAGGTCAGCTAATCATTATATATAGATTAGTTTGGGACTAGTTTCACAAACATACTCTTATCTAAAAACTAAAAACAGCATCCACCTTTTTTTGGCAGTCAGTTTAAAATAAGGAGTTACCTTAGCATTGCTATTAAAATTTTTCTCCCATTTACTAATATAGTCCCAAATATGCCAAACTTGAAGTGTAGGAAACAGCTTAACCACTTGCCCAGCAACAGATTCGCCACGGGGGTCCAAGGTGTCAGTGAAAATATACATCGGAAAGACAGACAATATGTCTAAGTAAAACCCCACAGTGGCCATTTTAACTTCCGCTATCTCTTTTATTGTCTCTTTTCGTATATTCTAAAAATAAAACACAGAAATATATTAAGTAAATGGAGCTTAACAATCTATATCAAATATCAATATATATATATATATATATATATATATATATATATATATATATATATATATATAAAATAATGTCACGGATGTACGGATGTACGACATTATATATAACCCAAATATATATATATACATGTTATATATAAAATTATATGTATGTAATTATTTCATGTCTTAAATTTAGAATCTCTTCTACAATTTTTTATAACATGCCAGCGATATTATTTTAGAAATTGTGTACAAATTCTGATCAATATAAAAATCAATCAAGCGATAAAACAAGTGTTTTGAGGATAAGTAACTCGTTTTAAGAGCATTTTAGCTGAATAAATGTAAACTTTGTATTCAACGCGGTAATGTAATCTGATATTATAAATTTACAACACTCTTCCTTGATATTATACGGCTTTATTATAAAATATCGTAAATTTTGTATTATATAGGATATCATAAAGCTATTATATTCGGCCAAGTTCAAAGAGAAGGAAGATTCGCAATTCTACTCCTCATATTTTTTTTGTACCTATATGTTATTTGATACTTTCGCTAATACAGCACCTATTTTCTTATCTTTTAATGAGCTAAATGTATTTGATCTTGTACTAATTATTTTCGGAACTGTCTATGTGTTTTAATAAACAAAATTTTCAATTAATAAACACATATACAATCCTTCTTGTCGCAAAAATAGCTAAAACAACAAAAATTACGAAAACTATAGTTAATCACCGATGAAAAATATATTTAACAATGTGTAGGTACCCTGTAGCTATAGTTCATGTGAATTACAATAAGAATATATATATATATATATATATATATATATATATATATATATATATATATATATATATAATAAAAAATAATGTCACGGATGTACGGATGTACGACATTATATATAACCCAAATATATATATATACATGTTATATATAAAATTATATGTATGTAATTATTTCATGTCTTAAATTTAGAATCTCTTCTACAATTTTTTATAACATGCCAGCGATATTATTTTAGAAATTGTGTACAAATTCTGATCAATATAAAAAACCCTTTTAAAAAAATATGTGAATTTTTTTTAAATTTTTGAAGCTAAATAATCTATTTGAACACTGTACTAAGTAAAACTTTATATATTCAATTCTTAAGCCGATGTGTGCTCCTTTCTACGTTATTTCAAATCCAGTTTGGGGTTTTAGCCAATTCACTAAAAGGTTACTTAAAGCTACTGAAAGTAGCACTTACTTAAAAATCTTTTTACTCTAAATACTTGTTTCTTTTTACCACAATCACATTTTTAAAATTCATTTATATTTGCGTCTGAATATTAAAAACATTCTGCTTTCAACTTTACAAAATCTTGTATTCCATATTCCATAAAAAATAGGCTTTATTGTCGATAATTTATTAAATTTTGTTTTTCAATACCTATAATCTATGTGAATTTATATTTTTTTTTATACAACTTAGAATGGCAAACAAGCTGACAACCTACCTGATGGAAAGTGGTAACCGTCGCCTATAGACATGAGCAGTACCATGGACATAACAGAGTATACTGTTTCGCCCATGATACCCCCCATGTGTTGCCATTTCTGAGGACTCAGGTGTTATTCCTCTGTACCCAGTAAATTCACGTGAATATTTATGTGATGATGATATGATGCGGCCATCAACTGTCCACTGCCGAACATATCCCCCTTAAAAGAGGTTTGCCTATAGTTGTCACACTAAACAGACGGGTCGGCAACCGTAGTTAAGATTTGGAAATGTTTTAAAAGGAACGCTGCTGCCCATTCCTCTACCATTAAAATCCCTTAGTGGCCTTGTATAAATGTGAATATAAATGTATAATGTACATATACATGTACATACACATACACATACACATACATATACATATAAATATAATGTCGAAATAAATACGAGTATTTAAAACTATGTGACTTTAATTAGGTATTAGGCATTGGGTATTTCTATAGTTTATTAATATCTTGTGATTTAAATGTCCATGACAGCGTTACACGGTAAAGCCGTATAACTTATAATTTGTTCCATTTGTAACATAACATACCTTATCTACTATGGCCGTTGTAAGTTGTATGTATATATTGAACAATAACCCAGAAATTACAATAGTACTGAACACTGTTTGCAAATCTGAACGATCTGTCTGTATAGCGTAATGTGGAGATAAAAAACACAAATATAGAATCATTATAAAATGCCCTACGTCGAACATGTTGGTCTGAAAAATAAAGTTATATAAGTACTTGTATACACTTACTTAATATCTATTTGTTTATCTACTTAATACTTTTTCCGTTCATCATTACATAAAAAAAATCGATTCTTTCGCTATTAGAATTAAATCAACTATTGACAGTACTTTTATTGAGTTCATCAAAGAATACAATAAGTATTTAATTTATTATTATAAAGTAGGTAGCCCTCATATGGGCATATTCCAGTATTGCCATTAGGTAATTATTGTTACCAGCTGTACTTACTACTAGAAACAATAGAAAAAACTTGTGTAGGTAAAAATTATTTTATAGAAAATTTTCTATAAAAGCTTTCCTGTTAGTAATAATGTGCCACGTAATCACAGATCGTCTGGTTCTCAAGTTAGGATACTCTATATTATGTAAAACTAAATTACAATACACAAACTATAATACCCAGACTCAAGCCAATTTTGAAAAACTTCCTTTATTAGTCCGATCGAGAATCGAACCTAGAACCTCATTATGCAAAGTAATGTGCCTACTACTACATCACAGATGTCATCAAGTATATATACATGTTAAGTAAAATAAGGCAAAAATCCTGTTTTTTCACTCGCAGTAGGTAAATCTGAGTTGCCCGCCTAAACTTAATATCAAAAGGTTTGGTCCGGTAGAAATCAAAGAGTGTACAAGATCAAGCACTCTAAATAATTTGAAATTCTATTTAATAATAAATAATACTATTTTAATACAAAATCTTTTAAAAAAATTACGTACAAAACTCGTATTTGGTTCTAATATCCATGGAAAATTGGCCCTTATGCATATTTTTGGCTTGTCAATAGTGGTTACGTTGTTTGATATTTGATATAGTTTTAAATATTCACTAGTAAACTTCGGTTGCCGAACATTATTCTCGTCTATAACAATAATTATTCAAATATTATTCACTAAACTAAAATTGATATAAACGATCAATACATTTTAAGACTTATTACCTCTGTAATACATGTGAGAATCGTCTACGAAAGTCGGATCTTCTTCCTCAACACCGGCTAAATTATCTTTAAGGACCTTCATAGGTCTATAACGGGTTCGAATTAGTCTTGAATCGCCTTTGTCGTACTGTGCTATAGCTTCCTAAAATTGAAGTATAATTTCAAACTTTGATAACAAAGCAGATGGAATCTTTGTGGTCCGCACCCACTTTGGACAGTCCAAGTGGCTACGGAATCTGAAAGTAACCAAACACTTTATTGTACAGAGAAACTTCTTAAGTTGTTTCGACTTTTCCAGATCGTACCTACATTATTGATCGCGTTACTCTCTCAACAGTATTCGGAGTTTTGACTGATCTAAAAATAAACATTTAGCTCAAATAACAATGTAAGCATATATGTCGCAGAGAAATGAAAAGATTAGGGATTTCATTAAGTACCTAAGGATATCACTAAATCACAAAAGAGCTCGAATGATCACAATCTATTAAGTCTTCTTGCTGAAATATCTAGTAACATGATAAAGTACTACAATATGTTCAATGATACATCGCTTCTCGTCTCGTCTCATCTCGTCTAGTAGATTAAAAAAAGGTGTTACTTCCTTATTCTGAATGATTTGTCCGATTAAAACTTGTTTTATATAATATTATTTATGTTCATATGATAAATATAATAATATATATCTTTCAACCACAGTCTAACATATGTTAACTGAAATTAAAATTTAGCAATCTAGTTGAATGAATTAATGCATCATTGAATACAACGTAGCATCTTGTTACGCCACTAGATTTTTTTCAAGAAGAATACATAATGAATTATCTGAATGGAATCTTCCGTGATTTTTTAGTTCCTCTAGATATAATAACAAATCTCTAGTATCCTTATTTTTCTACAACATACAAGTATTTATTATTTATTTGAATTCACGGAACTCTATAAATGAAGCCTCGAATATAATCCTTCTTTTATTTCATCAAATTACTATTTTATTATTTGTATTTCTCTGAAAAAAAAAACTGAGCATCCAAAACAAAAACAAAACAAATGATTTATAGAAAATATATTCTATAAATCATTTGTTCATCACTTATAATATACATCAATTATAGACAGCACTTAAAATAAATATATTTTTATTTATTAGACATTTATTATTAAAATTTTGTATAAAACTTACATGAACCTGACTTAAAGGATAGAGAAAAGTACACTGAATTCGAATAACATATATACATATATAAAATATACTTTTCAATCATCGATGTGGATTAATTTTAAATAATAAAGTAATTCAATACATGTTTGTAGGAATTTGGGAAGGGGGGGTATTTTGATCAAATTATTTAGCAAAGCTCAGTGTTTAATTAATATTTAGCATCATAGCAATCTATGATGCGAAATATTAATGATTATTGAATTATATCAAGTTCATCGTATACCTAATTGTAAAATAAAATAAAAAAAAATCCAAACATTAATTTTAAATATCGCTTATAAGGTTTTTAAGTGCTGCCGTATTTATTATTCAAATTTTACGAAAATTAATTCTTCAGGGAAACAACATCAAATGTTGTCTGTACAAAAATTGTCTGTAGGCATAACTTTGTCACTCTCGGGTCTCTGCGACGAAGTGGCTATGTTTGCATGATCGTGTTTCATAGTAAAAAATAGGTTACGATAGTGACTTCACAGGATACAACATGTATAAAAACTTATTCTTCAGCAATAGCAACGCATGTTATTGGCGTTATCATATATTCTGTGATGTAATTATGTATATTCATAGTCCATTTCATGTTTATAGATGTTGGATACCGCGTGAATTTTTATTCCATGAGGCGAGCTATCAACTTATTTGCTACTCCAGATTGCATGTAAAAAAAGATAATATGTAATATACCTCTTTCCGACGCGATTTCCAAAGCCTGTCCTCGATTATTTTACGTATACGTTGAAGCATAAAAGGTTGCTCTTCCGCCACTCGCATGAAATCCGTTCTACGTAAAACCTTTAATGGATATTAATATTTAGATTCGATACGAATATTAATCTATATCAGTATTTTTTTTAATATAATAAATTATATTCACCTGAAGCTCGACATATGTAGCTGCTTTAACTGTAACCTTTGATGGGATGGAATAAAATAAACTCAGCTCCCCTAATACCTGGAAATACATATTTATTTTAATAACGAAGTATCTTATAGTTTCAAGTACAAAATTATACAGAGATACCCTCAATTTGTTTCTTTTAAGTTACGTATAAAAATATGATATTTTTCTTAAATTCCCTCTTTCCTAGCTATAATATCTCATGATAATTATTTTTCATAAATTTATCGTAATATTTCAAGAATATACAAGAAAACCTCATTTATATTATAACAATTAATGCAAAGGATATCTACCTACTATATTTGTAAATAAATCATTCACACTAGGCAGTTAGTTGGCTATTTATTACTGTTCATCATGCTATTTACCTCTAGCATTTTGCCTCATTTATTTATTATGAAGTTATGAACCCCATTTTCTGAGTAGTGTAGATAGTTGTATACTTACTATTACGATACCGAAAAACTCAGCTGTTGATTTTTTCAAAAAGTTTTACTATAAAGATAATGAATTTGTGTGAATACAAACTACTAAGCTGTATCAGATCGTAAAATTTAAAGTATATAATTAAAACAATTCACTAAAATAAATCGGTTGCAATAACCAGAGCAAACCAGTCCCTACAGCTAGCACTTGTTCACGAGTATGACGAGTGAGACAGTTAAACCTTCGGGAAACTAATCTACCACACTTTACAATTCAAATTTATTTCATGTTGTAATATAACTTGATTAAACAAGAAGAATTCATGTACCGTTTTCACCTGAACATGATAAAGTTTGGATTTATTTAATTTACCTTAACTGAACCTGAATCAGAAATATTTGAACACCTTTGTAAATTAGAATGCTCATTAATTCCTCTGGTTCCGTGAATAAGCAAAGTAGATAGAATCTTACATGAGAAATCAGTTTAAGGTACAACAGTTTTGATACGGAGGATAAAATCCTTAAAATTTTAAAAATAAAAAAGTAACCTATCCTTTTGCTTAGAAATAGATATTTGATGTAATCACTCACAGTTCCTTCTTTGAAAGCAATCATAGGACTCTCATCGTCCTCATCTGAAAGCATTTCTATAACTCCCTGTTTTATGCAGATCATACCAGTCTTTACCACATCCTGAGTCCAAATTCTCTGTCCGGCAAGGTATATCTCATGTCGCATTAGTAGTGAAATTTGACGCAAAAAAGCTTCATCTAAAAATTTATTGTAAATTTAAGAAACTGATGAGTACTCTTACGGATAGAGCCCTCTGATATCAATAGTTTCTTGGTCGTCTCCGAAAACCTCTGACTTAGTTTATGGGACAACGGCTTCATGCTTCGAAATGCTACATGCGTAATTTTCGAAACGTAAAGTAAGCATTTTGAAAAGATAAAAGAATTAAGTCTCTGGATTACAAAAAAACGTTCTCTAACTAAACTTTTACATAATTGAGAACTAAATAATAAATATAATTATTGCTTGAAAATTGGAAAATCAAGAATTTACACATGACCCAGAGAATTCGTAAGCACGCATGACTACTGAGAGGACTCTAATGTCAATAAACCTATTTGTAAATGGTGAATACGCTGTATAAGGAAATAAAGAAATAGCATTGTTAACTTCAATTAACTCAATGTAATAACTATAACTAAATGTAAGATTTGAGTAAGTAAGATTAAAATAGCCTGTAGCTAATCAATTACGTATTAAATTAGTAATGCCTTCTAAATAATGAAATAAATATTTCTAAATTTTCAAAACATACCCGTATCTTTAAAAATCAATGATTTTTTAAAGTGGCCAACATTAATATCAAATATTAGTTCCATTTGCAATGGAAGTGGTAGTTTTTGCAAATGCTTAGAACTCAAAATACCATCTTTCATTATCCATAATTGTCGTTTATAATTTCGGGCTTGTTCGATCAACCAAGTTGGCGCTCCGCGAAACTTGAGGTAACTGATCATGTGATGATACTATAAAAAAGAGATATTACATGTCATAGTAAAAAAAGATATGCTCACCACTATAATCCTAAATGGTTAGCCAGACATTTGTCGACTCTTTCCGTTACAAACGGAATAACACTCAATATACCCACATTTTGCCAAGAATAATTGAAACCGACCTGGCAGTGGGTATACCTACCACTATCGCTGGGGTTAATTTAGCTTATATTGATATTTTGTATTATCTGTGTCTAAAAAATATAATTATGGCTAGATTGAACTCACGGCATTTGCGATCTATATCATATCGGGGCTATATACCACTGGGCCAAAACACTCGACAAAAATTATAAAAATAAAATACAAATTATAGGAATAAATAATAGTTAAGTAGTTTCAATATTATTTAATTTTATTATTTTAAATAAATATGATTCATGTGAGACTTACCTGATCGATAAATTCCGACTTGCGACTACTATCCCGTACTAATTCCCATGCCAAGGTTCCTATGAAATGGTACCTCATGAAGACGAAACCAATAAGCATTAATATAGACGATAACCACTTGTCTAAATCCCGCTAAAACAAGAAAACATGGTATCTTGAATTTATAAAATACTAGCGACCCGCCTCGACTTCGCACGGGTAGATAAAAATAATATACTCGTATATGTTGCTCATTAGTAATGTGCCAGAGGGAGACTTTGTACAAAAGTCGATTGCTTGGGTACCTCTGTCCCATTCGTGTTACAACCGTGAAGCAGTTGTGTTTGCATGGCTGTGTTTCGGTTTGAAGAGTGAGATATGGCGTGAATTTACTGGGTACAGAGGAATAACACCTGAGTCCTCAGGAATGGCAACGCATGGGGGGTATCATGGGCGAAACAGTATACTCTGTTATGTCCATGGTACTGCTCATGTCTATAGGCGACGGTTACCACTTTCCATCAGGTGAGCCGTCAGCTTGTTTTCCATTCTAAGTTGTATAAAAAAAAAAGTCTATAGAAGAAAGTCAAAAGAGTCTATAGGTGAAAGAACTTTTTAAAATCAATTGAGTAGTTTTAAAATTTATCCATTACAAACAATCAAATTTTTCCTCTTTACAATGTAAAATAAAAATGCATAATAATATCAGATGGAAACTATGTACGAAATTTGTTTGATTTTTTTACAATTATTTCAATTTTCCTCACTCGTGTTTCTTTTGTGTTTGTATAGTTGTTAACATTAATACATGCATAGACAATGGCAGACCGGCATAAACGTAGCGGGAAAGCCGTCCATATTGATACAGCACAACGGTCACCATACTACCCTGCAAATTTTTATATTCATCGCGCGGTTGAGACGCCCTCTGTTTGACACTATACATTACTACTACAAGACTGTCTTGTTGTTGCTCTATAAATTTTATTATAATATACCTATTTAAGTAAAACTAACAACGATAAATATATTAAATACTATAACCGCACCAACCGGAGTATTTAATAATGTTGTATCAAACAATAGTATATGTCGATTTGAATAGTGGAACATTTTAATGAAAATTATGAGGCATAAAGATATAACATTAAAAATAATATAATAATAGTCATTAAAATCTGTAATATTTAGGCAACAATTATCAATTACATCAGATAAGTAAACAACTTATTGTTTATTGCAAAAAATATAATATAACTTATAAATCCATACGATTTAAACTATTTGCTCAAACCATATGAATTTACTAAGTACTTAGAAACAATATACAACGTATTCAGAATTCTAAGTCCAGATAAAATTAGATTACATCAATTGTAGCCATTACGATGAAAGAAATATCCTCACCCTACATGAATTTCCAAATAAAATATAAGTTATTCCATTCTTCTCAGATATACAAAATAGATAATTTGGGTTTCCTTATATAGGTAAATACGTGTAGATATATAAGGAAGTAAGTATATAAATCGCAACGCAGACAGAACTATAAATATTGCAAGCGACAGTAGGACGTTACGGCGGCGCTTGGTGTATTTATGCACTGGCTTTTGGGTTTCTATAGCTGTAACATATTGCTCTAATTCTACAGTGACGTTACTACATATAGTGTAGAGTCAGCACAAATTTATCATGACGATTTTGTTTAGCTTAATGTTGTAAACTCACAAAAACTCGATTGTAGTCATACATTTTCAGGTGGGTCCGTTCCTCACCGCTCAGACATCAGAGGGCCTACCATGAAATATTTTCCGAAATTTCGAGCACAAACGAAACAGAAATTTGATATTAAAATTACATAATATATGCCGTTAAATATTATTAAAAATATTAAAATATCATTCCTCTAGACTATTAAAATAGGATTTATGATGAACGAAATGTTAGGCTCCATTTACTGGGTCGATTTTGGTACGAACAAAAACACGAAATTGAGCAAATCCTCAAAATTCATAGGTATACATTAAATATTATAAATAAATTGGAGAGAAATAAATAGTTTATTTGTTTTATTAATTTCTTTCCGTTACCGAGACTAATGTAACATTGACTATGATGAAAAGTTGGAACAGGCAAACAAATACGCTCTATTATTAATATTATTAAGAACAAGTAATATTATTATATCGTTATAATCGTAGAATACTGACGGATCTTTACAGGTAATATTTGTCAGATCCGTCAGTATTCTACGACTATGACGATATAAGTAGGGACTTTTTATAATATAAGTATTCTTTTTCTTTCTTTTTAACTTATTTTGTGTAGTAGGGCATTTAAGTGGTTGGCTCTTCGACTATATGAGTAGTCAACAAGTTTTACTACTACCGGTATTGTACTGGTATAGAACTACCTACATTTGTCGTTACATTTTGAGCTGCATATTAATAAACTCAAGTAAACTATACACAATTCATGATGTTGCTTTGATTCTTAATTTTTAAATTTATTGTACTTATAACATGTAATGTAATCAGTGTTCTGTGAAATGTGCGTACGTGCCTGCGTGCGTGCGTGCGTTGTTGCGTACGTGCGTGTGTGCATGCGTTAATGAGATTGTACCTTAATAATAGTAAACAGGTTATTCAATATCATGTAAGTAATGATACCTCCATATTAATTTAAATAAAATTAAATACCCCAAGGGCTCCTACCGAAAATCAGCGCTATAGCTCCTAAATTGCGGTATAACGCTGAGCGGGGACGATTTTGGCAAACCTTACCTGACACGTTTACCTTCTATACATGTTATGTTATTTGTATGAATATTTTGTAAATATAACAATGTTTGCTGAATTAACTATTTTTTTTTTTGGTCAACATTTAATATTCATCACTGGAATTGATGTACACTTGTCGATTATACATTTAATACTTATCTACATAGAAAAAATTTAAGGTAAAAAATGAATGTTTTATAAAAAAAAATATAAAATTATTTTTAAAGTAAAATAACATTTATACGTCAATATATTTCAATAATTACTTGTACATGAATACGAAGCTGGTAATCTACATATAATATATGTAATATTCTATTTTTTTTTTATTTTGATGCTTACTATATAAAATAAAGTCAACACTTACTAATGGAAAGGTGTCACCAAAGATAACATTAAAGAAACGACAGGCGGTATAATACCAACAGGAAATGTAACTGTAAATAAACAACCATTCTTTAAAAATAAATTCAAGAGGTAATCTTACTAACACAATGAAATTGTAACTAAACGATACAGCAATGCATAGGAAATATATAAGAAAAATTAAAATAAAAGTTTTATTAAAACCAATAGATTCTAGAATAATATTTTTTAGAAATTTTGTTTGTCTGTCTGTTTGTTCGTTCCCACATTACGTAAAAACTACTATATCAAATTAGATCAGGTTCTTACAACTGTATTTCTGAAGGTCTAACTTAAAATTAGTATATGTTCCATTCTGATACGCCATTTAGTAAAGGTTTATTTCGTTGGTTTTCCAACTACTGAAATCCAAGCGTATGAAATAAATAAAAGCTATTTAAAATATTGAAGCTGATTGAATATTAAAAATATTCAATCAGCTTTGAAAATTAATTTTAAACGACTTACGTATCATATTTCAATTTATGTGAGTTGACATGATCTGGATATCCCAGCTGATACCAATTCTTACTCCACCCTGGAGATCTATGCATAGCGAACAACAGGCATGTGCTGGCATGCAATACTAGTAACACAACAGTAATGTGTTCTATCACATACAAAGTTTTTCGAGTGTCTCTAATCTGGGAAATTTAACAAAATAATTAGGCGATTTGCGGCAGGCGCGAACTGCATCCAAATTTGGTACACCTTTAAACTGTGCCTTCAACTTCGAGTTCCCAGAAAAGCCGATATCTCCTAAATATTTTTTTTACCACTTAGGTAGCAAACAAGCATACGGCCCACCTAATGATAAGCGGTCACCAATATTAGTAGCATTACGGGTGCATTGTGTATCTCAAAGAAACCTCTTTGCTCCTTTGTTGATGAACCTTTTTTGTATCCCATATAGAAGGTTGCAAATTTTATATTTCAGCTTTCTGGGGACATAAACTTTTCTCAAAACTCAAAACCAAAAAATTTTACCGAATGTAGATAGAACTCGCATTTGTTGAAAATCATCCAATTATGAATTAAAATAAAAATAATATATACTAAAGCTTTGAAGGAAATCTTGTCTATTATAAACAGAATGAAATCGACATCATGTATCTCTTTAAAGAGAATGTTCTATCAATGAAACTGAAAATACTACGCAAGATTTTCTTAAATGAATGCATTTAAGAAAAAATTTAATATCCGTTGCCTTGCACCATTGATAAAAGAACAGTATTTTTTCTCTATTTGCACCTTACCAGTTACATGCTTATATGTTCCTAGTAGAAAAGTGAAAAATAACAATGAAATTATTTGCGTTCTGTTACATCTGCATATCATCTGCATATTTATCAATTGCCTGGTAAGTACTCCTAATGAGTTTTTAGTAAAAAGTAACTAATGAACTCATCCGGTCTCCTCTTACTCATCAATCTCCTCCGGAAACCATTGTGTTTCATTCCTAAGCGACTTAACTTCATCTTCACCTACCACCGTTTACTGGTATCTCGACAGTGTATATCGATAGCGCAGTTGGGGTTCCCATTATAATTTCATCTCATTGAAAAATATCTATAATTATTTTACTTAAATAATTAAATCAAGGTTTTATATTATACTTCTTTTAATAATTTCTGTACCATGTATAAGATACGTAATATTATTATTTGACTAATTATAATAAATATTTGTAATTCAACTTACAGTTCCATTAATCTGCTGGAAAAATGTGAATAGTCTATAAATGCGAGATATCTTCAACCAACGACCAAAAAGCAAATAATGTTCATAACCAGCTTTGTTGTTAACTGTAATAAAAATATATAAACAACAATATGAATTTCTTAGCTCAATCCACATCCGGTGCTATGAAAATGTTAATGTAACATATAATTATTTAATTAAATTAAAATTACGTACTCTATTTAATAAAATATAGTTATTATATCTATATATAATAACATGGTTATAATGCGAAGTGACATCAATATTAACAGATCTTTCAACGAAGTATCGAGAACTTAATAAAGTGAATACTAATCCTAATTAAATTATTCTTTATTGCATACAAAAAAGTAATACATTAATAGAGAAGTTATATATAAAGGCGAGGTGGTCTTTTTTATACTGGGATCAAACAGCCGGTCAGGATATAGTATTTATCTATCTATTTATATAATTATAAAGATAATATAATTGCCGTATGGTCCCGGCATAAAATAGGTCCCCTTCTTATCCCGTGGATGTCGTAAGTGGCGACTAATGGAGAATGAGAGATGAGCAGCAGCGTCCCTCTTAAAACATCTCTAAAGCTTAACTGCGGTTGCCAATCCGCCTGCCAAATATGGCAACTACTGGTAAAATCCCCAAGGAGGAGGCTTATGTTCAGCAGTGGACAGTTAAAAGCTGACATGATGATGATGATAATATTTACTGGAATAAATAGTAATGTATCAGAATGTCATAATAATTGGTTAAGCCGTTAAAATGCCAAGAGGCAACAAAAAGTAATCCCACTTTCACATTCACACTATTAGTAACGTTTTTAAATTAACTTACATATTGAAATCAACGGCACAAAAGTCAGGACATCATAAATTAGGAGAACATAGCTTCTCCTATAAATCCTTACATGCATCCGCACCGGTGGCCACAATGCGTGTAGACAATGCACCAGCACGTCACAAATAAAGAACGTTTCGGTCAAAATTACCATTGCAGCCAAAATAGGGTACGAATTGTTGAGATAATACCCGAGTAGTAAATGTACTACGAATTTGAACAATATCGTTAGGCAAACTAATGTCTGAAAATTAGAGAAAGCTTGGATTAATTTTTTTCGATCATAGTAAAGTAGATAAATTGGTACTCTTCTTTGTTTCTTCCAAATGATTACACTAGAAAATTTACTGTAAATAGATACAAAAAATTTCAAGAAATGTTTTCAAACTGAGAAAATCATTGTTTTCTCGATAAGTCATCTCTCTAAGATTTCATAAGCGATCACTTCCAGGCAACCTTTGGATGAAGAGGAGTAGTTGTAAAGTATTAAAATATAAAAAGATACATGTTCACGATTATAATGCCAAATAAGATAGTTAAAGGCTAATATCGTATGCTAGCGTTGTGTTGAAAATAGTACTTGATTGACCGACATTTCTCCGAACGTTTTAAGATTCAAAGTAACAAGAGGCGAACCTACTAAATACATTTAATTAAAGTAAGATAAAAGACGTAATTATTACACATTTTAATAAATGGCAAAGGTATTATATATTAGAGTCATTTAAAAAATAAGCAACATTCACCTAAGATTTCTTTTATATACGTAACGAAAACGTAATTAATGTTAATAATGAAAAATGTAGTAGCTCACAAGATACTTTTTTACTTTTAAGAATTCGTACATTATAATAAATTAATTTACCTTAAGTTCATTTATTAAATAAAATATACTTATTCTAATGTAATTAGTAAGATTATTCTTCTTATTTCAAGTTTATATACATATTTTTTTCAATTATAGTTTTTATTGGTTTTACCCCCGAAATTTCTATTCATCTCTACCAATGAAGATAGGTGGAACAAAATTCCGGTTTTTATTCATCACTGAGAAAATGTTGGTCACTGGCCACTGCAACCACATTACAGAGATTGCAATAAAAAGTATTTCCTTTTTCATCCCAAATAAGAGTAAGCAACCCAAATTTTATAATGGTTAATTGAACAACAGACAAAATCATATTCACATTTGTAATATTTGTAAGGAAGTAGGAATAAATTTCTTATATACCTTCTCGTTCAGAATATATATAAGTCCGTAATATCCAAAAACATAAATAATAATATTAAACTTAGATAGCCTGAGAATTCAATTCTTTCCTTACTTATTTGAGCGAAGAGTAACAAAATATATCTAATCCTATTATCCTTTGTCAAGTAGGTGTACCTACCTATTCTTATCTTTATATTCCGAATCAGGGCTAGTTACAGTTGACGATTATTGGTTTTACGAAGGTTTCGGATGTATAGTTTTCAGGAGTACCTAATCATGACTGTTATTTCGTGTTTCACAACATATAATTTCTTATCATATTATAAAGTATTTTAGAAACAATACTAATTCAGTTTTCTAATATTATCCTACTTTAGGTATAAGTTTTAGATGCGACTATGTGGCAGTACTTTATTGTTATAATTACATCGATGTTCTATTATGACAATTGATACATATAAGTTATTTATACCGGCCGATAATTGATGGGTGGTCATCTCACCATATTAGGAATTAGTTCTATAACAAGAGTTTGTCCGTCTGAGATAATATATTAATAACTTATTATCTTATTGTTCGATTCTCGGTTTGACCAAATTTAAATATCAAACTTTTCTGAATTGGTTCAGGTCTGAGTGTTTTGAAATGTGCCCCAGTTATTTATTGCTTGATATTTCATAACACATAGTACACTAGCATGAGAAGCAGTAATTAAAACTTAAATTAAAACCAATTGCTGTATTTCAGCGGTACCGCATCGCATTATAAAAAAAAAATACAATTTACATAATTATGTGTTAATACAGGCTTAATAAAAATATTAACACTCATTTAAACTAGTTAAAATGTTTATACTTCTGTCCAAACTTTCACATTTATACTCGTAAACTATAGCCGTAATATACTGGTAATTAATTGTTAAAGTCAAATCTATCTGACTTATACGTTTGGTATTATAATCGTGAGCATATATTTTTTTTATCTCAATTAAGTGTTAATAAAATATTATCACTTAAGAGTGATGGTTAATAAATAATTTATTTATAATATATGGAGGGGTTGTACGTAACGGGAACTATTGACCCTATCGGTAGCATTATTCTCTCAGGTCGACCACCACGTAAGATTCTTTCCTCTTGAAAATCATTGTGGTGAATTCGTCACAATTTGTCCAACTTGGGGGAAAGGGATTGTTAGTAATGGAGACTGAGAATCCCATTGCTAGCAATATACTCAACCAGGTCGACCTCCTCGCGGTTCTCTCTGGAAACTATCATGGTTAATTCCTAATGAATTCATCATGATGGGCTAACTGGCCTGTTTTCATTCTCATCTATCACCCTTCACTGGTGCTCCGCCAGCGTATACCGTTAGCGCAGGCGGGGTTACCATACCATTTTCACCCATCAAAAAAAAATTGTCCAACTGAGGTCAGACGGCCAATACTTATAATAATGACTTAACCTATCATCCTTCACGGGTATCCTGCTAACTTAAACCAATAATGCAGGTCAAGTTACTATTAAATTCTCTTTCATTCGTTAAACCGTTATGTTTTGTCTATTCCTGGTCTAAATTTACGTTGACAGTAGCAATACTAATAAATTAGATATTCTATGACTCTCGAGTATTCGCAGTAACATAACGCTATGCGGCATAATTAAGCGTGTTTTCAACTGAAATTAACTAACCTGGAACCACATGTTCCACGGTAGTGACATGACGGCTAACGTGATTTTCCTCATCCTACCTTCCCACAGGAATTTTCCTCGGTATCCATCTGTTCTATGCCCAATCTGAGGCAAATTTAAGCGACTAGGAACATTTGTTGCCATTGTGCTGTGATTATAAAGTAAAGATTATTCGATTAGTATACATTTAAACCTTTTAACGAAGTAAGAAGGTTCAGCAATGAAAAATAGAAGTAAATAAATACAATATATTTTTAAAATCACGGTAGCACATTCGCGAGTCACTTGGAGAATAATTCAAGTTATTTCCAAAAAAAGCGATTACAATTTTAACAAAATGGTTGTGGAACTAACACGAGAGTTAACTTTATTCAATAGAAGATTTCCTTTTTTGAAATCGGATGGACATTGGCCTTATACCAAACTATGTCTTTATAACACCTTTATGGCATACACGAATCGAAACGCTATTGGGTTCTTGAAACCTAAACAATAAAAAGATATTTTTCGTATTCAAAATTTTAAAGGAATAATTAGGTATATCGCAAAATTGTAACACAAAATAAATTTGTTAATTTTTAAGTACTCGAACAAAAGTCTACGCGATCTATGAAGAATTTTGTCAAGATTTTTATTTTATTTTATTACCATTCGTTAGAATAATAACGAAAATTAATCAAATTCTTTCAGTACACTAATATAAATATGGAAGAAATTTATTAATATATTTTAATGACACGATATGAAAAAAGAAAGTTTTATTTGTGGAATATCTTAAGAAGTAATCGTATAACTAAAACCTATCTATTCATATTTGTATCTTCATACCAAGGTGGTTCATTTAGCGATTGTTAGAGACCTGATTACTGAGACTTTTCTATCATAACTGCGAAAATTAGGGGGACGGATTGTTAGTAATGCGGACTACCACTCCCATTGCTAGCAATATATCCTGTCAGGTCGACCTCCACGTGGTCCTCCCTGGAAACTATCGTGCTGAATCCCAGGTGTATTCATCACGATGGGCTAACTGACCTGCCTTTCCACTCTCACCTGTCATCTCTCACTGGTGCCCCGTCAGCGTATATCGTTAGCGCAGGCAGGACTGCCATTCCATTATCGTCCGTTAAAAAAAAACTGCGATGATTTGTATTGCGGCGAGGCAAACGCGCCGTCAACTATTGCGACAACCGCAAGAATTTTGTAGACGCAAACAATGTGATCTCAATAATTTTAACACTAAATACAACTTGCTAACTTGCTGTTCCGAAGTATTGTTTAGTAAAAGATAATAGACTTTATACGGGAATGGGCATTAATTGTTATAATAATAAATCTAAGGATATTTTTAATCTACTAATCTACTAAGCGTGAATTTACTGGGTACAGAAAATAACACGGAATAATAATACGGAATGACACCTGAGCCCTCAAGAATGACAACGCATGGGGGGTATCATGGGCGAAACAGTATACTGTGTTATGTCCATGGTACTGCTCATGTCTATAGGCGACGGTTACCACTTAACATCAGGTGGGCCTTCAGCTTGTTTGCCATTCTAAGTTGAATAAAAAAAAACTAATTAAGTACAATAATACAAAGATAGAATAAATATAAATATAACTGATCGAGACATGTTGACGTCATGTCGCCGGCCCACCCCATCGGTTACGTGTTGATACATTAAATATATTTGATGTGGGGACATATTATGCTACATAGCAGTGCCATAAATCACAAAATACCTACTACAATCCGCCCTTATCTCTTGTTACTTACATCCCATAATATGGATGATACATTCATTGTCGTGTCATATACACACGTCGATACAGCCCGTAAAGGATTTCACCCAATTTTTTTCTTTATGAACGACATGAATTAAATTATATCCATTGTTTCGGTACCCGGGAGGACAGAATGCTGCGTGACCATACACCGGTGGGGGATGGTGTGATATAAATTGTGTTATTTGTAAAAAAATCGACATTTTTATTTGATATATGTATAATAATAGGTGCGTATTTATATGCCCATCGAAATGTTTTTGTTATTTGTATGCTTTTTGCTTTTGATATAGAGATCAGGTTAACGAAAATGTAAGTACCCAGGCGGAAGGCTTGAAGGGATATATATATTTACATACATACTTATGTAGTATCTATTTACTCATTTTGTGAAAAGTAGACTATAATAAAAAAAAAAACAAGTAAAAACTTATTCATTCTTGACGCCATTTCCTTTTCTTATTTAATATGCTAAACTATGTATACCTATAATTTACGATTATGTTTTAGAAAACTATTTCAATTAGGACAAAATTATTAAAATTTAGTTTTAACATGGACATGAGCCATTTTCATCCGATTTCAAGAAGAAGGAGATTATTAATTTGATTGCATTTTTATGTTTGTTACCTCATAAATGTGTCAGTTATAAATAGATTTGGATTGTTTTTTTTATCTAAAAAGAGACTTTATTTATTTATTTAATTCTTTATTGTACACACCAGTTATTTTACTTACAGACTGGTCCTATAAAATTTTTTAAAAGTCGGTTTAGTAGCTTAACTGGTTTTTCTATAACTGAAGTTGTTTTTTTTGTGAAACTCAATCATAATTTTAAAAAATTCATTAAATCTGAATAGAATATACTTATAGTATTATACTATAAGTATATTATATAGTAATATACTTATACTACTAATATAGAATTATATTATCTCTACTTATAGTCATACCTATCTATTTGTAAAATAATCCATACTATGCCCATTAGTTTATTTTGTGAACCTCGAAATATGATATTTTTAGAACTTTATCCCTTTGATCATTTTTCAAGGTATATCTTTTTCGAATTCAAAATCTGATTAACATTAAAATAATAAATAATAATATAAAATCGCTTACCCAGTTCCTACAGTACTTAAAGATGGTTCACTAATGCTTCTAATCATATTTGTACTTAGTTTTATATGTTTTCTAGTATAAAAATATTTTTTTTTTATTCAGTAACACATCTTTTAACGAAATAACTATCAAAATCATAGCCCTCTTGTTATTTTATATGCACCTATTACATTCTATTTTTAAGCAATTTCCTAAAGAATTAATAGGTTCTTAATTCATTTGAATTTTTTTGAAATTACACAAGTCTGATTGGAATTTCACAATTCCTTTTATAAATTCTCATTTCGATTGCATATAAGTTTTGTGATAGTTAACGTTTACTGCGCAATTTCTGAGCTGACTTGCGTAATGATTGTAAGGGTTTACTTTCTGGATAGTCAAATGAGAATTTCTCTAAATTAAAATGCGTTAATTCATATGAAGAATATGTATACTAACAGCTTGGCGAGTTCTTCATTTTATCAATTTTTTTTTTTAAATGTGTAGCCCTGACAGAACATTCACTTAGTCATAAAATTTTATTTTTGATTGTCCTTCTAATGTGACATTAATTCCAATTCCAATACTTAAAATTTTAATGTATGTATTGTTATTTGTACAAAATTCCACTAGATGGTTCTAACGACATCCTATAGAGCAGTGGTGGCCAACTGGTCGATCGATTTTTAGTCTAGTCGATCGTGGCAATGCAAAAAAATATAATATTTTGCTATATCAGCAAAATATTATATTTTTTGTGTGAAATAAATATAAATAAGTAGTTACTAAGAATCATTTTCAGTTTTATGTTTTCCCTGTTAATAAAATAAAAAATATTTAAATACTATATAATTGTGTACTAAACTATGTTGTTTCATTTGAGATTTCAAGAAGTATGTAATTGGTAGATCGCACAGGATTTCGTCAATAAACAGTAGATCTTGGATCTAGATAAGTCAGCCATCCCTGCTCTAGAGGAATAGAAGTAGTAACATACGTACATATATTGTATATAGTATTCTTACTCCGTCACCACATAGAATAACTAGCAATTACCATAATCTACTTCAATAGAAGTCAATGAAAATATAATTAAGTTTTATGATATTTTCGCAAAAACACTCTAAATGGAATTAGTGACAAATCGAAACATTCAATTAATTAATTTATTTTTTGTACAATTATTGAACTTCTCTCTTATAGAAGGGACAATTATTCACTTGTTTACATTCTCATTATGTTCTATTGAAACAGAACTCTACATATATGTCACTACCACAAATAAAATAGTAAAGCATTAATACTTAAAAGCATTCATATCAAACCCATCGAAGTTTAATGGGTGATAATGGAATGGTAACCCCACTCGCGCTATTGGTATACACTGGCGGGGCACCAGTGAGAGATGATAGGTGAGAATGAAGCAGGTCAGTTAGCCCATCGTGACAAATTCAACAAGGATTAATCACGATGGTTTCCAGGGGGAACCACGTGGAGGTCGATCTGATAAGGTGTATTGTTAGCAATAAATTCATTAGACCCCTTTACTAACAATCCCTTTCCCCCCACCCATTGAAGTTAGACAACATCAGAATTATCTCTCAATATTTAAAAACACATAATTTTAAATGCTTCCGATTGATTATTCAAAAAGTGCTTTGATAGCGAGATGTTAAACCCGCAATAAGATATTTAATAAGCTGTCAGGGAAAATTTGTATTACAATTTTTCGGTTATGTAGCTTTATATACCTACCTGATTATGTATACTTTATGCTCTTACGTGCCATTTCGGTATCCCAATAAGCAGCCGGAATGAAATACCATATTTTGTGGATATTGAAATTTTACTGCGAACCTCACGCGAGGACCTCGTAAAACGTTGGTGTGGGCGCAACAGCCGACGGAAATCATGAGTAGAAGCGAGGTATAAACCAACGGTGTGGAAGTGCGAGTCTTCAACGATGGAATTGCCATAAAACGATACTACCATAACCCCAAATCACTTTGAACGCGGAAATGACGCGAGAAAGCATTTTGCGTTGCTAATGCGATTTGTAAGTTAGTAACAGTATATAACTCTATTAAATATTATGCGGTTAATACATATTTATAAAAATACATACTTGTTAAAAGAATTTACAATTTACAATTGATATTATAGCTATTCCCTGTAATAGTAGTTAGTAGTAGTAGTGCATAGGATATTTTCTTGTAAGTATTGTAAGAGGTAACTAAAGGAACTTAACGGTGGAAGGATAGGCAGCAACGTCCCTCTTAAAACATTTCTAAAAACCTAACTGCGGTTGTTATCCCGCCTGCCGAGCGCGGCAACTACTGGCAAAACTTCCTTTATGGGGAAGTCTTATATCCAGCAGTGGACAGTTAACGGCAGAAATGATGAGGATGATTGTAGCTATAATTATTTTGTAACTATTCTTGACTAGTTTTAATAGTCGTTACTGTATTCAAGATTTATTTTTGTTTTAAATTCAATTTTAATAATTAAATTTTCAAGTACTTTTATTACTTTACTTGAAACAATGGCAGTAATAAAAATCAACTACGTATAACAAATTTGAATAAATTAAAATAGGTTGGGAAATAGGAGGGAAAAATGTGAAAGTATAGAATTGTTATCTATTTGTAATTTTTTTTTCTCGAATTAGACTGAAATAAAATTCTATAAAATTGGCAACAAAACACAAGTAATTTAGTGAATATGAAATTCCTATTTATCAAAGATGTTCATATAACGTACTTTTTTTTTTAGAACAATATTTAAATATCCTCAGTATATATTTCTAATAAATCTGGGTACGTTTAAAAGTAGAAGAAATCAAACTAACAGAATACGAAAGCAATTGTGACGGAACGAAAACGGTAACCCGGGTCAGGCACGTCGGCAGGGCTCTCATATAAAATGTAAATATGCGACCAAACTGTAGCACGAAAGAATAATTCATATTCAGGAGGCGAGTGGGTGGCCATCCATTTTGCATGGTTATTTTGGTGAAATCCCCGCGTATCCTGCTCTCATGTAATTAAGAGATTAAAAGATCAGCGTGCGGGTGGAGCGAACTCAGCGGGATTTTTATGAAAACATTTTTCATTACATGATGTATCACTGTATATTGTAGGTACGCGGCTGGAGTGAGAATCTCTGAATGCGAAGCGACAAGAGTGCTTTTCTGAACGCTCTATATACGATAGTTTATTTTAAATCTAGTGCTAAATAGAATCACAAATACTGAATTCAATTCTGATAAAATTGGGATCGGACGAAACTACACAGATATATCCGAATAAACCCTTTCAATTAAAAAAGAATACGGAATTTTATTTTTCATTTATGCTTGCATGGTGGTTTTCATTTTAAATGGTGAAGTGTGGCAATGAAATTACAGATTATAGAGGCATCACGAATGTCAATCATTTCACTTCCATATCCTACCCACCCTTCAAACTTAAATATATCATACAAGCTACTGCACGGCAGAAATACATAAAAAAAAGTCAGAGATCAAATTTTATAGAATCATTTCAATAATATGATTTGATTAGCACTATATGCAAGAGTTTGAAATAGGGTTATTAATTACAGGTATTTGGATTTATTTTCACTTCTTTCACACTGATGTATTTTACTTTTATATTCGCCTCTTATGAAATCCTGTGAATGAAAATATTGGTGATAGGTTCTTCCTTCATCATCACACGAACTACTACTACTACTTTATAGCATTGTTATAATTTAAATAATAAATAAAAATGACTAATAATTATATAAACCGCAAAATATTTTTTTTTAAAACCACAAATTAGTTCATACATCTCACTTTACTAGGTGTTTAAACAAACATGCTTAACATTCGCACTCAAAGATCGTCAAAGTAATAAACGTGTGAACATTGTTAGTAATACATCCCCACTGCGGGCTCTCAGGGTATATGGCTATATACCCGGATAAATTTACCCCCTCCACCCCCTTTAGAAACTATGAAACTAGTCGTGATGCATTCATCAGGAATTAAACACGATGGTTAATTCCTGATAAAATGAACTGACCTTATTTCAACTTCATTTAATATTCCTTCCTGGTATACCACCAGCGTAAACTAATAGAGCATACACTATTAGATACTATTGCGTTTCTATGTGTTAAAAAATTAAATCTTTTCAAGTACTGTACATACAATTAATTAAATTCCTCGAGAGCAAAAATTGATAGGTTATTTATGTAATTCACGCACTAATTATCCAGCGTGCTAGCAAAACTACTGCAATATTAATTAAAGTTTTACAAGTTACACATTTGTTTTCGGTTTCATACAAGAACTAAAGAATGACAAATTTGATCCATATTGTGCTATGTTTAGAATATGTGAGTAGTCTAGAAACATAAACTAATCATAGTTGTTAACTTAAATATTTTAGACAAAATAAATATGGACTACACATAAGTTACGTTGCAATATAATCATGAAAATTTATTTATTTATTTAAATTGTGATACATAGATAACAATGGATGGTAAAACAAGATAAGTCCTCTATGATCAACCCCATATATCGAGGTATATAAATTTGCAGTTATATAAGAAAAAACAAATTATATAAAAAAAATCAACAATGTCACATTTATAGTAAAAAATTATAATATTATGGAAATTTATTACATTTATCTTCAAGGAAATCGTCCATTGAATAGTATGTTCTGTTTACTAGGTATTTATACAGTTTAGTTTTAAATTTTTTTATGTCATCTATATCTGTGAGGGATTTAGGTAAGTTATAATATATTCTAGGTGCCATCCCTAAGACACTTTTAGCGAATAATATCGTTCTATGTGGTTTTCAAATAATTTTGTGGTGCTGTCTATTATTTTTTAATTTGTTATATTTATTTAAATTATTTTTAACAAATAAAGCCAGCTCAAAAATATATAACGCAGGTAACGTCAATATGTTGTGTTTTTTGAATAGTGGCTTACAGCTGTCTACCGATTTAATATTGCAAGCTGCCCTCAGATTTAAAATTAATGCAAAACAGGCGAAGCTGCACATAAAAATACAGTCATATTAAGAATCTTTTCAAGTCTATTTACAATTTCAGTATGTA